TTTTCATGCTGATTGGGTGTCTCTGGGACGTTGGAGATAGGGACCCTGTTGCGAAAATGGAAATAGACTTTCCCACGCCCCCAGCAACTCCAAACAGCTACACTTCTGCCCATAAGCAAATCAGGAACGAATGCAGGACGAATGCTCATTGTTGTATAATTGCCCCCAGAAACAAATAGGAGAGAATGCTCAATTAATGACCAGACACAGTCTAACCTCCGTGTAGCCATTGGGCAAGCAAATCAGGAGAAATGCTCAATGCTGAGGTTGCCCAGAGGAACCCCAGGAGGGAGAGGGGACGGGAGACATGGTCCCTTTGAGGAAAGTTTGAAAAAGTTGCCTATGTTTAGCCTGGAGAAGCGACGGTTAGGAGGCACGATAGCTATCTCCAAATATCTGATGGGCTGTCAATTATATGATGGAGCAAATATTTTCCTGTTGCTTCAGAGCGATGGCTTCACATTACCAGAGTGTTTGAGGAAGGAGTGTTCGTGCAGGAACTGGCTCGAGACATTGTAGTGCCTGAGGCGAACCACAAAATGGCGCCCCTCCCAGCCAGGGATGAAGGGGTGAGTGAAGATTTGCATCAGGGACAAGAGGGAATAGAGATGGACGTCGGAAACAAGGGTGAGAGGAGACCAGCAGCACCTCCTATTTGCCAAGAGGCTCCAAGGAGCATGAAGGCAACATCAGCCGTGGGCCTTGCATTCCTTGGAAGCCAGATATGCGGACCTGTGAATGCTGCCGCCTGAGGCGGTCGCCTCACACTGCCCCATGTGTAGGCCGGCCCAGACCGTAGTGCAGGGGTAGGCAAACTAAGGCCCCTTCTCAATCCCGCCTGCGGACAGTCTGGGAACCAGCGTGTTTTTACATGAGTAGAATGTGTGCTTTTATTTAAAATGCACCTCTGGGTTATTTGTGGGGCCTGCCTGGTGTTTTTACATGAGTAGAATGTGTGCTTTTATAAAATGGCATCTCTGGGTTATTTGTGGGGCATAGGAATTTATTCATCCCCCCCCCCAATATAGTCCAGCCCACCACATGGTCTGAGGGATGGTGGACTGGCCCACTGCTGAAAAAGGTTGCTGACCCCTGCCATAGCGCAATGCTAGAGAATCTGCCACAGAAGATCCTAAGGCCGATCCCTCGCATCTCCAGGTATGGTTGCATGAAACCTTGGAGAGTCTCTGCCGTCAGTGTAGATAGTATTGAACTGTCGAGCCCATTGCCATTCAACGTCTTTGTAAATGACTCGGGTGAAGGAATTGAGGGGATGCTCATCAAATTTTCAGATGGCACCAAACTGGGAGGGGTAGCTAAGGTCGCAGAAGTCAGAATCAAAATTCAAAATGGCCTTAACAGATTGGAGAACTGGGCCAAAACTAACAAAATGAATTTCAATAGGGACAAATGCAAGGTTCTGCACTTAGGCAGGAAGAACCAGCTGCACAAATATAAGATGGGGGACACCTGGCTTACTAGCAGTACATGCGAAAAGGATCTAGGGGTCTTGGTGGACCACAAGGTGAACATGAGTCAACAGGGTGATGCAGCAGCAAAAAAAAAAACTAATGCTATTCTAGGCTGCATCAACAGAAATATAGTGTCCAGATCAAGGGAAGTCAGAGTACCACTCTATTCTGCCTTGGTCAGACCACACTTGGAGTACTATGTCCAATTCTGGGCACCACAATTTAAGAAGGATGTTGACAAGCTGGAAGGTGGGCAGAGGAGGGCAACCAAGATGATCAAGGGCCTGGAAACTAAGCCTTATGAGGAACGGTAGAGGGAGTTGGATGCATTTAGCCTGGAGAAGAGGAGACTTGAGAAGAGATATGATAGCCATCTTCAAATATCTAAAGCGTCCTTTTGGAAGACAGAGCAAGCTTGTTTTCTCCTGCTCTGGAGGGTAGGACCCAAACCAATGGCTTCAAGTTAAAAAAAAAGGAGATTCTGACTAAACATCAGGAAGAACTTTCTGATGGTAAGAGCTGTTTGACAGTGGAACAGTCCCCTACTGGAGGTTGTGGACTCTCCTCCCTTGGAGGTTTTCAAGCAAAGGTTGGACGGCCATCTGTCATGGATGCTTTAGCTGAGATTCCTGCATTGCACAGGGTTGGACTAGATGACCCTTGGGTACCTTCCAACTCTATGATTCTATGGACTAGAAGGACCAGTGGACTGACTCAGTGTAAGGCGCCTCCCTGCGAACTTCCTGGTGCTCCAGGTTGTTTAATAGTGGTAGAGTTGGCCTTGGAAGAGGGTGGACTCGCCTTCCACCTACGAGGGAAACTGTAGCACCAGATTTTCTGCATTGATAGCGGGTTGGATGCCTTGACCTTTGAGGCTCCTCTGAACTCTGCTCCTCCTTAAAGAGGAACAAGGCGGGAGATGTGAGTGTTGACCTGGCCTTGTGTGTGCTTTAATGTCAAGTTGTGGAAGCCGGCTTCAATGGTGAGGCCCAGACCCGGAACATCTGAAGGGAGGACCAAATCAGACATGGTGTTAAAGTGGGCTTATCCTCACCCAACTGTAGTATACATTTGAGGGATTATTTCAGGCCCCCCAAGTGTCTCTATTTTCCAGGGACGTCCTCAATTTACAGAAGCTGTCCCAGTTTCTGATTTGATCCTGGAATGTCGCCCCCTTTTTAATATAATTTTTATTATATATTCTATTTTACATTTCAAAATATTTAAAGAACCTAAAATCAATTACTTCCCTGCAAACCACTCAGTAAAACCATTCAGTAATCCATTGTTACATCCATCAAAGCTTATTTATGCTGCTGAATTCATCTTAATGCTACCAGCATTTTCAAATAAACACAATTCCCCCCCATATATTCAGTAAACATTTTCCAGTCTTCTTTAAGCGTACATTCTTCTTGTTCTCTTATTCTATATGTTAAATCTGCAAGCTGCACGCATTTCATCAGTTGTCCAGCTTTTCCTTAGGATGCCCCTGTTTTCTTCGGAGAAATTTTGGAGGGTATGGACTTGATTAATTAATGAAAACATTCTTGGCAAATGCTTTTGCTCTGGTTCGTCTTGCGCCGGTCCAAAAATTTCACCTCTAGCGGCACAATGCGAATGCCCCCGGCTTATCCGACCCCTGAGCCATCTGAACACAGCCCTGTATCGGGAAGGTTTTTTGTTTTTTGTTTTACTGTTTTATTATGTTTTATATATGTTGGAAGCGAGTCAGATGGGTGGGGTATAAATAGTAAAGTTGTTGTTGTTGAATAGGATGTCCCTATTTCCATCAGAGAAATGTTGGAGTGTATGCGCATTGTGCCACTTTAAACAGCCACAGCTTCACCCAAAGGATTCTGGGAGCAGAAGTTTGTTAAGGGTGCTGAACAGAGTATGCCCAGTCATTAGGTAAGGTGAAACATCGCCTCAGGCGGTCAGTGTCATGCCTGCAGCTGCCCTGCCACCTCTTTCAGTAATGGAGAAGCATTGCTGCCAGTGGCGCCAGTTTTGGGCAAGATCATGTCCATTTGGAGCGATATCTCACTGAAAACAGGAGCCATCTTGCCTGAAAAATTGGCGCCATCTCTGCCTGGGCACAGCGGCAATTCTTTCCCCGGCCCTGAGAGGCCTCTTATTCTCCCCCCAGAACTATAATTCCCAGAGCTTCGCAGGGAGGGAGATTGATAGCCGAACCACTCTGAATTGTAGCTCTTTAAGGGGGAATGGGGTCTCCTGACAACTCTCTGCCCCCTTAGCAAACCCAACACATCAGACGCGAGAAAGCATGGGAAATCATATCTCGTTTGGCCCTGAGAATAAACAAGGATCTCTCTGAGCAAGTGCAAAGTTCAGTTCGGCCACCACTGCCTACGTGTATAACTTGGCATCTCTCTGCTTTGTTCTGGGTCAGGCGGCACAGGCAGCAAGGCACACAACCGCCACCCAAGGAACCCAGACTAACTAGCACAGAGACGCCTCTGCCAATGGATAACCTCTGGGTGACTCATTCACGCAAATTCCCAGCACCACAGTGCTGTTTGCAGCACTTTTTTTAAAAGTATTGGGCGGGGGAATCCCTCTTCCCAGGAAACTCTGAGAATTGTGGCTGTGGGAAGAGAATAGGGGCCTCCTGCAACTCTTAACTCCCAGAATTCTTAGCAACTCTCACCAACCACAGCTCCCAGAATTCTTGGGGGGGGGAGCCATGACTGTTTAAAGAAGATTCCCATCACAGAGCTAGAATTCCCAGAGTTCCCTGGGAAGAAAGATTGGTTGTTAAGCTACTCTATTATTGCAGGAATTTATGTATAGGTTGGGTGGGCGGTTGTCCCTCCAGCAGATATCATGCACATGCAGCCCACTACCAAAATCAGCACAATCGCTTTTGCGACTTTGTGATTTGTCCCCACAAAACACTTCATCACAGTTTCTTCCCATCTATTCAAAGGGCCTTTGCTGCACGGCACCAAATGTAACAATTCACTGATAAATGTACTGGCTCACTGGGAAAACTTCAGAAATTCATATAGACATGTGAGCTCAGCTGCTCAGCAGCCCCTCTGCCTGAGTGATAATCCCTGGCATCCTGATACCTGAGTGCCAGACAGGTAGCCATTCCAGAAATAACAAACCCAGATGAAGACAAAAGGGTGTGATTAACTTGGCTGGGAAATAGGGAAATGTAAATATCTCTTTTGTTACACTTGATGGGTGTTTGGTGGGGGGCAAGGGGAACCATGGGGCAGGGTCCAGGATGCTCAGATTACTGCCACCAGACCTCCCCTTTCATGATGTAACCGTGATGTAGTTGGGGGGGTGTAACGTGGGGATTAGCAGCTAATAAAAGTTTGGGGGTTCTTTTGTTCGGGGGTTCCATTTTGTTACACCTTGTGGCAGGTGGGAGTCCTGTCGCGACAGCCTTCAATAAAGACCAAGCCTACTGGCTGCTGTTTTGCTCTGGCATTCCTGGCTGGTGTCCTTGTTTTTTGTCCAAGGGAGCCCTCAGATTTCTCTGTTAACACTATGAATTGTAGCTCCATGAGGGGAATTGTGGGATGTATCTCTCCCGTTTTCTCAACAAGCAAACTTTGTGCGACAGGCAGAAATCCAACCGGTGCAGCTCTGGCTGGCGACGGAGATTCTGTGTGCAACAGATAATTACACCCTGCCTGTCTCGGAAGGCACCCCGCTCCCTCCACCTCCCTGTACCCAAATGCCTGCAGCCAGCCCCACCTTCCCCATCTCTCTGTCACCCTGCCGTCTAACTAGTCAGGTCGGGTTAGGACTGGGAATGTGTGGGTGAGAAGCACAAGGGGAGAGAAAGGCAGGGAAGACGGAGGCAGAAAGATCCCTTCCAGATCTTGTCTCCTCGTCCTCGGCGGAAGGTGAGAGAAAACCAGAATTCTCTTTGTTTTTCCACATAAGTGGCCAGAAGGGGTGAATGGTTTGTGCAGCGCTGTTATAACCTGATCCCAGGCACTGAGCAACTCGGAAGGAAGCCCTGCTGAATCTGGAAGCGAGTAATTATATGTAGAGCCTGTGGCCCAATGGGTCAGTGTGTCTGGCTGTTAACCAGAAGGTTGGCGGTTCGCGTCCACCCAGGGATGGCTGTGGGCAGGATTCCTGGATCTGGGCCCTGTTTTTTTGCGGGGGGGGGGGGGTCAAGGAAAGATGGTCTGGGGGTGGGGCGGAGCATATAAATCAATGTCAAGGCTAAAACAAGGATCACCCAGATTTTTCAGAAGATGTCTGAAGGCAACCCTGTTTAGGGAAGTTTTTAATGTTTGATGTTTTATCGTGTTTTTAATATTCTGTTGGGTGCTGCCCAGAGTGGCTGGGGAAACCCAGCCAGATAGATGGGGTATTGATTAATAATAATAATAATAATAATAATAATAATAATTTCCTCAAACAGCATCAGTTGGGAGTATTAATCTGCCCCATTCTACCCTTTCTTCTCCTCCTGTTGCAAAAAAATCAGACCCCCCCACTCTGCTTTAGAGGTTTAGAGGTTTAGAGTACTGCTGCCATTGTTGCATTTCTGTCACACCTTCCTCCCGAAGAGCTCAAAGCAGCACACCTCCTTCTCCCTTGCTCTCTGTTCCATCTTCACAACAACCCTGTGAGGTATGTTTGGCTGGGAGGCAGTGAGAGGCTGAAGGTCACCCAGCGAGCTTCATGGTTCAGCTGTGGGATTTGAACCCCGGAGGCGGTACCTCCGGCTCTCGTTTGGTACCCTAACCATTCTACTGCACTGCCACCTAACCATGGGGTGCTAGGATTCCTGGGAGGGGGGACCCTCCGAGGTCTGGTCCCAGAGAGGGGAGGCTTGTCTCTCACCCCACAACTCGCCCACGCCGGCCATGGCACAGAGCCAGCACACCTGGCCTGCTGGTTGGCTCAGTCGAAATTTTAATATCCCAGGACATTCCTGGCAGGCAGTGAGTCAGGCTTGAGCGCCTTTGACGCTGGCCTTGGGTGATGTTGTTGCTCCCGCCTCCCCACCCCCCATCTCACAGGCTCGCACCCCAAAGAGGCCAGACGGGCACCAGGAGGAGGAGAAGGAGGAGGAGGAGGAAGCAGTAACTGGCATAGGATTCCGCTGGGATCAGTATCCTCTTGCAAGAGCAACGCGGATAAACCACCCTGTGGAATGGAACCAGGAAGAAACCCGGGTGCCCAGCTGATTGCCCAGTCTCGGTTTTAAGCTCAGAAGTGTTCTTCTCGCTCGGAGGGGTCATTTGGCGAACTTCGGCCAACTTCCACCAAAGAACCGCCATGCAGGGTTTGAGCAGCCGGGTCCCCTTTCCTGGGGAATTCTTGCTAGCAGGTGAGTTGATGGCCGAGGAGTAAGCAATGCGAACAAGCCTGCCAGCTGTTTTGGGGGGCAGGGGATTGGTATGTAGGGTTGCCAACTGACCAGAAAACACCTGGCCCAGCCTGCTCTTCTGCTTTTAAGGAAAATTTTTTTTGAAACATATTAAAATGATCGGGAGGTGGTCACCTGCCAAGCGTTCCAGATCAAACTATTGTTCAAGGGAACATCTATGGCAACACTTTGAAAGGTTTCTTAAATTAATTCTATTTATTGTAACAAGCTGCTCCGGAGGGTAAGACTCAAACCAATGACTTCAAGGAGATTCTGACTAAACAGCAGGAATAAGTTTCTGGGAGGAAGAGGCATTCAACAGTGGAACAGACTCCCTCGGGAGATGGTGGACTCCCCTTCCTTGGAGATATTTTTAAGCAGAGGTTGGACGGACATCTGTCATGGATGCTTTAGTTGAGATTCCTGCATTGCAGCGGGCTGGACTAGATGACCCTCGGGGTCCCTTCCAACTCTGCGGTTTTATGATTCTAACATAAAGACAATTTTTTAAGGATCCTGAAGCTGGCAGCTCTATTAACAAGTGGAATGTTGAGGGTGCTTCTGTTCCCTGGCCTGGAGGCCATACAAAAGGAGGGGACACTTTTGCCTGTTTTAAGTTCTGCATGCTAAGCTGCCATTAAAGACAGAAGAGCAGGGTCAGTTAAAAAAGTTGGCAATTCCAGTTTATAGAGTTTGGGAGTGTTGCAGGGAATCGGTCAGTGCTGAACGGGGTGGAGTCCAGCAATCTACGGCTGGCCCATGAGTCCTCATCGCTGGCGCACGTGGGTTCATGGGCGATGGTGCCATCTGGGCAGAATTTGGGGGCACACAGCAAAATTAGTGGGAGGGCCTCTCCAGATTCAGCAAGGCTTACCACTTAATAAAAATAATTTATTTATTACAGTCAAAGACCAGCTCACATAACATAACACAATAAAAACAGCGTTGATAAAGATAAAATATACAATCGGAGCAGATTGCAGCAATAGCTCATGAGTTAAAATTGAGATATATACATACAACTGAAATTTGGGCTACCATAAAAAATAGACCCTGAGGCGCCCCAAAGGGCAACTTCAACATTTCCCTAGTAAGCTATTTTATACTAGAGGATGATCTGTGCCTACAAATCTGGGCGCAGAATCTCGCTACCAGCCAGGTTGAGGCGTACCACTTTTTGAAGTGTGTGTGTGGGGGGGGGGAATATGAGGAGCCCCCCCTCCACACCCTGTAAAACCATTATCCCTGGAATTACCTGTATTGCAGGAGGTTAGACTAAATGACTCTGGAGGTCCCTTCCAATTCTACGATTCTACCTAATTCAGCCTTTGCAAACCTGGGGCTGATAGGAGCCACCCAAAACACCTAAATGGTGCCAGATTGGCAAAATCCTGACCTAATTTTACCGTGGTTGGTAGGCCAAACGTCTGACCACGCAGCAGCAGGGGCTGGCTGAGAAGTTGGTAACTGCAGAATCTAGGAAGCTGTCTTATGCCATGCCAGACCAGTATTGTCTACACTGGCTGGCAGCAGTGCTCTAAGGGTTTCCACTTGAAGGTCCCTTTCATTTGGAGAAGCCGAGAATTGTCCCGTGACCTTCTGCACTCAAAGCAGCTACTCTGCCACTGCGCTACACCCCTTTCCCCTAGCGTCAGGGTTCTGCACACCTGTGAGTTCCTGCTGGACTGGGAACTGCTGGCAGCTGAACTGGTTCGAAGCTGGTTTGAATCTGTAGTGTGTAGACTAGGGTTGTAACTTTTTGACTCCCCCCCCCCAAGCCATTTCCTGTAGCAAAATGAACTTTTGCTTAGACACGCCAGAAAAGGGAAATGGAAAGTTGGAATGGTTGTAAAAGTTGGAATCTATTTCTCCTGTATTATAATAATACATGCTATGCCTATTATAGGGACGTGGGTGGCATTGTGGGTTAAACCACAGAGCCTAGGACTTGCCGATCAGAAGGTCGGCAGTTCGAATCCCCGTGATGGGATGAGATCTCATTGCTCAGTCCTGCTCCTGCCCACCTAGCAGTTCGAAAGTATGTCAAAGTGCAAGTAGATAAATAGGTACCGCTCTGGCGGGAAGGTAAACGGTGATTCCGTGCGCTGCTCTGATTCGCCAGAAGCGGCTCAGTCATGCTGGCCATATGACCCGGAAGCTGTACGCTGGCTCCCTTGGCCAATAAAGCGAGATGAGAGCTGCAATCCCAGAGTTGACCACGACTGGACCTAATGGTCAGGAGTCCCTTTACCTTTAACCTATGCCTATTATACAGTTACTTATACAAAAACTGATTTATTGATTTTGGGGGTGGCCTTTCCTCAAAAGAAATGACAGGAGCATGACGCTGTAAAAAAAAAGTTAGAACCTTAGTGTAGACCAGGCATGGCCAAACTTGGCCCTCCAGCTGTTTTGGGACTACAACTCCCATCATCCCTAGCTAATAGGACCGGTGGTCAGGGATGATGGGAATTGTAGTCCCAAAACAGCTGGGGGACCAAGTTTGGCCATGCCTGGTGTAGACATCTGCTGAGCCAGGTGAGCGAGGGGGGGGTCAACTTTCAGACCAGTAGGATGCAGGTGCTGATGGAGGATGCTGTGAGTACCAGTGGCCACCTACCCTGACCGTCCCTCTCTCTCCTCTCACGCAGCCTGCCTCGTGGGCTTGTGGGCTCCCCTGAGCCAAGCTACAATTGGCAGTGTCTCGGTCGTGTCCATCCCGGAGACCCCCGTCGAGGGTCAGAACGTCACGTTCGCCGTGGTCAACGTGACAGGCACCATCCGCCAGATCGACTGGTACCGAGGCGTGGCGACGGACGGCTCGACCCGGCTCTTCAGTTACTTCCCTGGGAACGGCAACCCGCAACGGAACGGGGTGCAACAAACGGGGAGGGAATTTGGCTTCCCCAACGGGTCCCTCCTCATCACCAGGGTCAGGCCCAACGACAGCAAGGTCTACACCGTGATGCTTCTGATGCGGCCCAAAGGCTCTCTCAAAGGGTCCATCGAGCTTCAGCTGGCACGTGAGTGTTTGGGCTCTCTCCCGCTCCCAATCTCATCGCCTCCCCCTGTTTCCTGTCTCCGTGGCTCAGGGCTGCAGCACGGAAATGTCCATTCCGGCCGTCGTTGAGAATTTGCCAATGCTTAGCTTCAGAGATCCTCTTTTTTTTATATTAACCCCAACAGATAAACAATTCTGCAACATTTCAAATTTAGCAACCAGTCTTTCCACCTATGACTTCCACTTCCCTCCGTGGTCCCTCTAAAATTTCTGTTTATACCTTCACCTTATCACAAAAGGAAAACAAAAAGTTCACCCCCCACTCAAATCCTATTTGCATTTTAATATAGCGTATTTTTCGCTCTATTAAACACACCAGACTATAAGACGCACCTAGTTTTTGGAGGAGGAAAACAAGAAAAAAAATATTCTGAATCCCAGAAGCCAGAACAGCAAGAAGGATCGCTGTGCAGTGAAAGCGGCAATCCCTCTTGCTGTTCTGGCTTCTGGGATAGCTGCGCAGCTTGCATTTTCTCCATAAGACACACACACATTTCCCCTTACTTTTTAGGAGAGAAAAAGTGAGTCTTATAGAGCAAAAAATACGGTATTTACACTTAGTTGTTGTTATTTTTTCTTTTAAGTGTTCTGCAAACAGAATACTCTTCTGGGGTCTTTAAAAATTGTGGACAGGAAGGAATTTTGACTTCTCTCTTCCGCAAAAAGAAGTTGTGTCATCCGGACGTTCCTTCCGAATCTCCTGTTTATTGTTTGCATGTATAACTTGGGAATGCTGGAGATGGCACGAGGAGATACTGGGCTGCTTGCTCCTGTTACATAACACAACTCAAAGTGCAATTAGCGTTATATAACCACCCACTTCTTCCTTGTACGCAACTGTCAAACGGGGGCATCAAATGACTGTAGCTGAGTGGTAGGAACATCTTCAGTGTGCGCAGAAGGTCAATTCCCAATGGCATCTCCCGGAAGGGACGGGTGAGGTTCGCTTTCGGAAAACCCGGAGAGTTCAGTATTGCCACAATGCCAAACTGGCGCATCGATTAGATCAGGGTTTGCCAGACTTGGGCCTCCAGCTGTTTTGGGACTACAACTCCCATCATCCCAAGCTAGAGGAGCATGAGGCTGTAAAAAAAGTTAGAACCTTAGTGTAGACCAGGCATGGCCAAACTTGGCCCTCCAGCTGTTTTGGGACTACATCTCCCACCATCCTTAGCTAGCAGGACTGGTACTGAGAGATGATGGGAATTGTAGTCCAAAAAGCAGCTGGAGGCCCAAGTTTGGGAAATCCTGGGTTAGATCAATCAAAGCAAAGATATTTAATGGGCTAAAGAGGTACCCTGTATTGGGTGTTGCCAAACTACAACTCCCATCAGTGCCAACAAGCACGGCCAATAGGCAGGAGAGATGGGAGTTGGAGTTCAGGAACATCTGGTGAGCCAAATGTTCCACACACCTGGTTTCAGTTGCCTGCAGAAGTGCACAGATTGAATAATAATAATAATAATAATTTATTATTTATACCCCGCCCATCTGGCTGGGCCTCCCCAGCCAATCTGGGCGGCTTCCAACACAATATTAAAATACAGTAATACATCAAACATTAAAAGCTTCCCTAAACAGGGCTGCCTTCAGATGTCTTCTAAAAGTCTGGTAGTTGTTGTTCTCTTTGACATCTGGTGGGAGGGCATTCCACAGGGTGGGTGCCACCACCGAAAAGGCCCTCTGCCTGGTTCCCTGTAACTTCACTTCTCACAATGAGGGAACCGCCAGAAGGCCCTCGGCGCTGGACCTCAGTGTCCGGGCAGAACAATGGGGGTGGAGACGCTCCTTCAGGTATACTGGGCCGAGGCTGTTTAGGGCTTTAAAGGTCAGCACCAACACTTTGAATTGTGCTCGGAAACGTACTGGGAGCCAATGTAGGTCTTTCAAGACCGGTGCTATGTGGTCTCGGCGGCTGCTCCCAGTCACCGGCCACTCCCAGTCACTCATTTTATCAGTTGATGGGCTGAAATGCAGTTGAGGGTTCAACCAACAGGGGGACCCAATGCATGTCCACTCCAAGGGTAGCCCCATTGAGTTCAGTAGGATTTACTCCTAGGATAATGTGTATATGAGTGATGGGGAAATCTGGGCCTTCCAGATGGGCCATTGGCCACGTTTGCTGGGCCTGGTGGGAGTTCATGAGGCCGTCTTAATGGTGGGATTTTGCAGGCAGTTGCCTTACATCGAGTCAGACCATTGGTCCATCGAGCTCAGTATCGTCTACTAGGAATGGAGGAGAAACTGAAATCAGTCTGCATTAAAAGATGAACCTAGCAAATTATCGCTTTCTGGAAGAATACAGGCACACCGAGACACAGCCATCCTTTGCAATCCACCCTTATCTGAATTTTGCGAATGGAGGAACAAGACTAGGATAAAACGTGCGACAAAATACACACCTTGGTGAAAATAACGTACGAAAAGGCATTATTCTGTGTGAAATTGTTCTGCAAAAAAAAGGTGCACATTAGGCAAAAATAACATAGACATGAAAAGGGTCTTTTGGGAGAAATTTGTGCTAAAAGCCTGACGAATTTTCGTGAAGGCCTTTTCTTTTTCTGATTGCAAACTGGTGAGGGCGTGTGGAGAACAGAACTTAAGATTTGCTGAGGGTGAGGAATGAGAAACTAAAACCAAAGGATTTGTCCATCCCTCTAGCCGACACTGAACAGCAGTTAGCTCTCCAGGGTTGTTGGAAGAGAATCTCTCCCAGCCGTACCAGGAGATCCTGGGGTTAAAACCTGAGACCTTATGCATGGAAGCTGGATTGATTGATTGATTGATTTTATTTCTTTGCCGCTTTTTATTCAAACGAATCTCAACCAATAAATAACCATAATATAATAAAACGTAATACCACATTGCAAATACAGCATACATCATAATTAACAAATGATCAACAAAACAGTTGCAATTTATAAAAAAAGACTTAACAAAACAGCCACTAAAAAATAAGCTAAACTTCACAATTATGAAAAGTCATGTGATTAACACATAATGCAGCATTTAGAATCTATAAAACAATATTAAAAACATTAACAAAATAGCAATTAAAATATAAGCTGAGCACTAAACTCATTTTTAATTTTTTTTATTAGGAAATTTTATTTACAAACAAACACAGACACAAAACAAAATTCATATTACACTAAGTTCATTCGCACAATCTCTGCACCCCCATGCTTCTGCCACTGAGCTACAGCCCTTGTCTAAAGAACACCATCTTCTAAGCAGCTGTTTGAGGTTCAGGAAGCCTGTTCCCTTTTGTGTCCTACCTACCTTGCCAGGGTCATTGTGGAGAGCTGTGAGGACAAAGCTATTTCCCGTCTCAAGCATTTGCTTGCTCCCTCGGTCTCTCGGTGGGACGCCCACACCCGATTCTGGGTTACTAACACCCACGTCCGTTCTCTTCTCTAGGTGCAACGACTACCACCCCACCCCCTACGACTCCCACCACAGAGCCGCCTCCTGCGAAGGAGCTCACCAAACCTCCTTTGATGCTGGGCTGGATTGTTGCTGGAGTCGTGGTTGGCATCCTGCTTTCGGGGGCTGTCGGGGCTGTCCTGGTCTACCGCTTCGTCTTACAGAAGGCAGACCCAGGCACAGGGTAAGGGGGAATGAGGGGCTGTGTGTTTGGAGGGGTCATGAAGGCAGACCACTGAATTGTAGAGTTTGGATGGGACCATGGGAGTCATCTAGTCCAAACTCCTGCAATGCAGAAATCTATCTATATCTATCATCTATCTATCTATCTATCTATCTATCTATCTATCTATCTATCATCTATCTATCTATCTATCTATCTATCTATCTATCTATCATCTATCTATCTATCTATCTATCATCTATCTATCTATCTATCATCTATCTATCTATCATCTATCTATCTATCTATCTATCTATCTATCTATCATCTATCTATCTATCTATCTATCATCTATCTATCTATCATCTATCTATCTATCTATCATCTATCTATCATCTATCTATCTATCTATCTATCTATCTATCTATCTATCTATCTATCTATCTATCTATCTATCATCTATCTATATCTATCTATCTATCTATCTATCTATCTATCATCTATCTATCTATCTATCTATCTAATCTATCTATCTATCTATCAATCTATCTATCTATCTATCTATCTATCTATCTATCTATCTATCTATCATCTATCTATATCTATCTATCATCTATCTATCTATCTATCTATCTATCTATCTATCTATCTATCTATCTATCTATCTATCATCATCTATCTATCTATCATCTATCTATCTATCTATCTATCTATCATCTATCTATATATCTATCTATAAAAGGTAAAGGTACCCCTGCCCGTACGGGCCAGTCTTGACAGACTCTGGGGTTGTGCGCCCATCTCACTCAAGAGGCCGGGGGCCAGCGCTGTCCGGAGACACTTCCGGGCCACGTGGCCAGCGTGACATCGCTGCTCTGGCGAGCCAGAGCCGCACACGGAAACGCCGTTTACCTTCCCGCTAGTTAGCGGTCCCTATTTATCTACTTGCACCCGGGGGTGCTTTCGAACTGCTAGGTTGGCAGGCGCTGGGACCGAACAACGGGAGCGCACCCTGCCACGGGGATTCGAACCGCCGACCTTTCGATCGGCAAGCCCTAGGCGCTGAGGCTTTTACCCACAGCGCCACCCACGTCCCATATATCTATCTATATCATCTAACTATACCATCCATCTATATCTATCTATCAATCTATCTATCTATCATCTATCTATCTATCTATCTATCTATCTATCTATCTATCTATCTATCATCTATCTATCCTCTCTCTCTCTCTCTCTCTCTCTCTCTCTCTCTCTCTCATCTATCTCTCTATCTCTCTATCTATCTAATTTAATTTTCTAAATTACATTTCAAAATATTCATTTAAACAACCTTAAATCAATGACTTCCCTTCTCTTTCGGTGGTTCATTTTGCATACCATACATCCGTGCATATTTTACATGAACTAAACCATTCAGTAATCTATTGCTACATCCATCAAAACTTATTTACGCTGTTGAAATTATCTTAATGCTACCAGTGTTTTTAAATAAACAAATTCCCCCCCCCTATATATTCAGTAAACATTTCCCAGTCTTCTTTAAACATGCATTCTTCTTGTTCTCTTATTCTATATGTTAAGTCTGCGAGCTGCGCGTATTCCATCAGTCTAAGTTGCCATTCTTTTTTGGTTGGGACCTCGCTCGTTTTCCATTTTTGGGCTAACAAGACACGGGCTGCTCTTGTGGCGTACATAAATAGTCTTTTTTGACACCTGGGAATTTCCCTCTGAATTATCCCCAACGACAAAGACTCTGTTTTTGTTTGTTTTTTGAAAATGTACTTTTAATCATTTTTTTCAATTCATTATATATCATTTCCCAGTATTCTTTTACCCTTGTTAAAGGAGACATTGCTGAAATCTCAAGCATTTGTAACAGAGGGCCGTCCAACCTCTGTTTTAAAACCTTCAAGGAAGGAGAGTCCACCAGCTTCTGAGGGAGACCATTCCACTGTCAAGCAGCTCTTACTGCCAGAAAGTTCTGCCTCATATTTAGTCGAAATTTCCTTTCTTGTAACTTGAAGCCATGGGTTCGAGTCCTACCCTCCAGAGCAGGAGGGAAGAAAAGCTTTCTCCCTCTTCCATGTGGCAGCCCTTGAGATATTTGAAGATGGCTTTCCTATCTCCTCTCAGTCCCCTCTTTCCCAGGATAAACAAACCTTGCTCCCTCGACCGTTCTTCATAAGCGAAATGTAGATACGTCAATGGGCAACTTCTCACCCATTCAAATTTGTTTCTAGGATGCCTACAAGACTGGATCCAAGAGGGAAAAAGCCACCAGCACCCAAACATGGTGAGTGACCTCCTCTAGAATATTTGAGAGTCCGGGGATTCACTTCCCCCCTGCAAACAGTGGTGTGTGCGTGTGCTTTGAGTGGGATATCATTTTGTTCTAGCAAACGGGATGTTAGCCCTGTGTACCTGAAGAAGCGTCTCCACCCCCATCGTTCCGCCAGGACACTGAGATCCAGTTCTGAGGGCCTTCTGGCGGTTCCCTCAATTCAAGAAGTGAGGTTACAGGGAATCAGGCAGAGGGCCTTCTTGGTAGTGGTGCCCGCCCTGTGGAACACCCTCCCATCAGATGTCAAGGAGATAAACAACTATCTGACTTTTAGAAAACATCTGAAGGCAGCCCTGTTTAGGGAAGCTTTTAATGTGTGACATTTTGATGTATTTTTAATCCTTGTTGGAAGCCGCCCAGAGTGGCTGGGAAAACCCTGTCAGATGGGCTGCATATAAATAATAGGATTATTATTATTAGCCTACTAGAATCTTGATAAGGGACGCAGGTGGCGTTGTGGGTTAAACCACAGAGCCTAGGACTTGCCAATCAGAAGGTCGGCGGTTCGAATCCCCGTGACGGGGTGAGCTCCTGTTGCTCGGTCCCTGCTCCTGCCAACCTAGCAGTTTGAAAGCACGTCAAAGTGCAAGTAGATAAATAGGTACCGCTTCAGCGGGAAGGTAAACGGTGTTTCCGTGCGCTGCTCTGGTTCACCAGAAGCGGCTTAGTCATGCTGGCCTCATGACCCGGAAGCTGTATGCCGGCTCCCTCGGCCAATAAAGTGAGATGAGCGCCGCAACCCCAGAGTCGGCCACGACTGGACCTAATGGTGAGGGGTCCCTTTACCTTTACTTAGAATCTTGATAATAAGACTGCTCAGCAGCAACCTACGAATGTAACAATAGCTCTATTAGATCAGACAGTGGCTTCTCAAGTCCAGCATCCCTTGCTCACAGGGACTAACCAGACACCCATGCATGGGTGTAGCCATGATTTTTGTTGGGGGGGGGGTAGGACCTCATATTTGTATTGATTTGTATTGGTTTGATGGGCCACTGCTGCTCCCATTAGCTGCGCTGGGGAGAGGCTGGGGAAACCCAGCCAGATGGGGTATGAATAATAAATTGTTATTATTAAATTACTATTTTGCCTTTGCACTCCTGGCAGCTGGGGGGGGGGCAATGGCTCTCTCTCTTCGCCTGTAGTTTCCAGCAACAAGGTTGTTGTGAGAACGACATGCTATGCAGTTCTGAGGCATGTGCAGAATCGACAAACGTTACTGGTGATTTGTTCTAATCTCTGCTTTCCAGGTGACAAGGAGCCCATTTATGAAACGATGGATTCGCCTGTGGAATCGCCCAGAGTAGAAGGGAAGGAGCCTCCGCCAATGTCTGGACCTCTCCCTGTAAGTCAAGGCATAGATGACCAGCCAAATGCCCTGGAGTCAACCGCTCCTTGGTTAGGTTCTGCAAATGGGGTGTGATGGGACTGAGAGGATTAGGAGTGGCTGGGAGCGGGATTTCTAAGTCAATGAACTCCACCATGCAACTCCCTTGGTCCTGATCTGGACTCTTGGAATTCCAAAGGTTCTGTATGAATTTGTTGGAATGGCCCTTTCTTCTGCACATTTGAGAATCTGTGTGCCTAAGGGTGAATTTGTCAGGGACCGTGCTGAGGAGGGTGGGATCCTCCCCCTGCTCCTGCTCCGGATCCTGAATCTTCCCAGGAGCAAGAGGACAGTATAGATTTGGAACAGCGGTTTGCAGAGGGACATAGTTCAGAAGGCAGAAGCTGGGAAATACTGGATGGAGAACAGCTAGGAGAAGAAACTCTGGAAGAGAGAGGGTTAACAGATTCACAGTCCCTGGACAACATTCACCCTCCCTTCTCCAAATTCACGGAGAGCTCAGAAAGTGGCAGAACAGAAAGCACAGAGGGCACAAGCTCAGATTACAAGACGTAGGAGTGACGTAGATTAATAGGGACAGAAGGTGGTGAAATCCTTAATTGGGAGCACCGCCATTCTAGGAGATTGTTTCTTTGTTCTCTTGCTGTATAAAAGTTTCTAACTGGTAAGAAGACTCCTTTCCCTTTGCTCTGCTTATCTACTGCCACGGGGGAGGAAGCCTGACAGAATTTAAAGGACTCCCCCAGCCAGTGGCATAGCTAGAGGGGCAAATGTTGTGGATTGCCCCGGGCGGCACTTACCTTTGGGGGTGGCATGCCGAAGCCCAAGGTGGTTTTCCAGTCCAGACGCACTGAGAGCCTAGCATGCCACTCGCAAAAGCTGCTTGGGGCTGGGTTCATAATGTGTGCAAGCTGTTGTGTGTCCCCCGGCGCCGCTCTGGTGGCCAAGAAGGATGCAACAGGCGCGCACCAGCCCCATGAGTGGTGCTGAGCTTGCAGGTTCCCCAAAACACCACGTCCCTCCCCGCCACCAAGGAGCAAAATCTCAGCAAAGGGAGGATCAAAATGAAGCCCACCCTTTTTCATTGCCCACCATATTCTTTCTCTTCACAGCCTCTGCCGGGTCCTTGCCCCGGACTGGACACAAACTACATGGTAAGTTCTTAACCCTGTGGGAAGCTTAACCGGACTTTTCATTTCTTCCTATATCCATAGAAATGTAAGCCCGTCGTCACGCTTTGCAGTTTGCAAGCCGGCCAGACCACTGGGACGACAAAGGGAAGCATCGCCTGACATCGCTATGAAGTCAGGTGATTGACAGGTGGGCATCTGTCACCTTTGGCTTGCCAGGAGCTTGGGAAATCAAGATCTGCCCTGCCAGCCAGGAAAGATCCCAGACCTTTCTGCCGCAAGGGATAGGGCAGGTGGGGTTGTTGTGATCTATAAGGGGAGGGAAGCAGGTGGCGGTGAGGTCTAAGACTGGGTAGGCTGGGTTGGTGAGCAGGGGATCACCATCTCTGGGCAACCTTTGGAAGGTCATAGAGTAGAATCTTAGATTTGGAAGGGATCTAAGGGTCATCTAGTCCAACCCCCTGCAATGAAGGAATATGCAGCTGTCCTCTACGGGGGCTGAACCTGCGACTTTGGCATTATCAGTACCAAGCTTTAATCAACAGCTTGGGACCAGATTACCTTTGAGATTGCCTTACCCAATTTATGCTCGCACGGCATTTATCCCTGCATTGCTGGGGGGCTGGACTAGATGACCTTTGGGTACCTTCCAACTCTACAATTCAATTCTATGGCGGCTCCAATCTGTGGAGCTGGTGCCAGATAATACTCATTCCACATGAGAACTCCTTGTCTATTGAGGCCAGGCAGGCACCTTCCTTGTACTCTTCTGCACACCTATTAGAAAGATTTTTGTTTAGGCAAGCCTATTTAAGTCACGTAGAACGCTGGCATGGACTTTCATCCGGTTTTTAGCTTAGCGTTGACTCTTAATTATTTTTGTGGAGGTGTTAAATTTCTGTTTCTGACTGGTTTTTACTGTTAATCTTATAGTTTTATTCGTTTGGTGAACCGACTTGAGGTTGTTTTTTGTTTTGCAGTCAAGAGATAGATCAGCTTTGTGAAATTAATAAACAGGGTTCCTTTCCTCTTTAATTTTTAGGAGTTGCTTCGCAGAGCAGAATCCATTTACGCCGAGATCAAGAGGTGATACCTTGCCTTGAAAGATGCTCCTCTGACTGCCCCCCCTCCTGCCAGCCCCCCCCCTGCTCCCTGAGAAGTGACTCATTCCAGTATTTTGGGATGTGAATTCTCCATCTCCCATCATTTTGCTCTCTCTTGTCTGCTGCTGGCAGGATCTAGAATCCTTTCGCCTTAAGACTGTGCATACAGCCAAGAAATTCAACCTACCGCCAAGTTCAAAGGCGATCGAGCCCAGGACTTTTCTCCTGATGGGACGGAGGAGCAAGACAGAGCTTGCTGTTACCTGGGCAGTTCGATCTCATCTCTCCCTAAAAATGGACCACCACGCGTGGCTAAAGTCTTGCTCCTTTTCAAGGAATTCTGGCGGCGGGAGGAAATATTTCTGCTTGCGATTGTGATTATTTTGGTCTTCTGGGCTTTTTCGATAATCCCGGGGTTTTTGTTTTTTAAAAAAGCAGCAATCTGCTTTGGTGCTCAGAACGTCTTTCTGTTTCCTGGAGGGCTGCTCTGCAAAGTGTTGGAGGGGTGCTCTGACTCTCCCCACCCCCAAGAACCACTTTCTTTGCAAGGTGTAGATCAGGAAATGGGAGGCCACACACACACACTCTTTGAGGTCATATTTGGCTGAGGACACCCCCCTAAGATGCTCTTAGACAGCATCTTAAAAAGCAGAGACATCACCTTGCCAACAAAGGTCCATATAGTAAAAGCTATGGTTTTCCCAGTAGTGATGTATGGAAGTGAGAGCTGGACCATAAAGAAGGCTGATCGCCGATGCTTTTGAATTATGGTGCTGGAGGAGACTCTTGAGAGTCCCATGGATGGCAAGAAGATCAAACGTATCCATTCTTAAGGAAATCAGCCCTGAGTGCTCACTGGAAGGACAGAACCTGAAGCTGAGGCTCCAAGACTTTGGCCGCCTCATGAGAAGAGAAGACTTCCTGGAAAAGACCCTGATGTTGGGAAAGATGGAGGGCACAAGGAGAAGGGGACGACAGAGGACGAGATGGTTGGATAGTGTTCTTGAAGCCACCAGCATGAGTTTGGCCAAACTGCGGGAGGCAGTGGAAGACAGGAGTGCCTGGTGTGCTCTGGTCCAGGGGGTCACAAAGAGTCGGACACGACTAAATGACTCAACAACAACAACAGGGCTTTTCCTGGACACCTCTAGTTTAAGCCTGAATTCAGTCCTGCCCTGGAAAATTCAGGTTGAGCAGTGATCATTGATGGGGAGGTCTTGCTCAAAACCCTGCTTCCCCCAAAGATCTGACTTTTTGCAAGAAGGAAGCTGTGGGGGGTGATTCTTGCTATGATGCAACATCCTCTGACCTCCCCGCAAAATAGATCGGAACGGATGCTCTCTAAATCGCTAGCGTTTCTACTCTGGAAGTGCCCTTAGTTTAGGATCTTTCTTTCCTTCCTTTCCCACACATGTGAGGTTTGAAAAGTCTCTTCTCCTGCGTAGTCAGCACTTTAGACTAAAGCAAAGATACGTATTACATCGGAGGAGTGCGTGGATGTCAGCCTTGTCAGATTTTCGTTCTTCTTTTTTACATGAATCCCCAGAGCTACAAACCACTGCTGGTTATAAAAGATTGGCTGTAAAGGGTTTTTATTTTTAGTTGGATGCTGTCAGCCTGGGTAGCTCAGTTAGAGCATGGTGCTGATGATGCTAAGTTTGCAGGTTTGATTCCCGTATGGGACAGCTGCATATTCCTTCATTTTAGGGGGTTGGACTAGATGATCCTTGGGATCCCTTTATGATTCTGAATACTCCTTGCTAGGAATCACAAGTAGGCTTTGGGTTGGCCATAAATGGGACAGGATCCTGGAATAGGCTGTCCACTGGCCTAATTCAGCAGCTTCTTCTTATTGCTACGCTCTTAATTAACGAGCAGGGTGCCCCCGTTCTGAGCCTTGGGATGAGTTTTCAGTGCCACAGCTGAACTGAGTTTACAGTCCTTTTGCAAAAAACCCCCACCTCCGCTCCCGGTGAGTTTCTTCATTTCAAGCAGTCTATCTGATATAGGGAATGTCGTGTTGTTATCACTGTCAAACAAACGGAGAGACAGGGGACCCAGCTGCAAGTCGACCAGATGTCTATGCTTAGATATTGTTGTAGCAATGAGGTTTATGAATCGTTGAAATAAATAAACAAAGTAAGGTATCAGTCGACCCTGATGTACTAGGACTATGGGAAATGATGGCTCAATTGGGCAGGCCCACCCTATGAATTGAGCAACGTTGTGCCTCTGAGTATAGCCCTTGAATTGGGGATCCAGACCAGAACTTGGCCCCTAAGTCCACACACACACAAATCCACTCCTGGTTTTCCCTCTTATCAAAGTGTTCTTTTTTCTTTAGTGTGCTGATTTGGGCTTGTCTACACTTCTGGTTAGGGATAGGGGTGGCGCTGTGGGTTAAACCACAGAGCCTAGGACTTGCTGATCAGAAGGTTGGCAGTTCGAATCCCTGCGACAGGGTGAGCTCCCGTTGCTTGGTCCCAGCTCCTGCCAACCTAGCAGTTTGAAAGCATGTCAAAGTGCAAGTAGATAAGTAGGTACCACTCCGGCGGGAAGGTAAATGGCATTTCTGTGCACTGCTCTGGTTTGCCAGAACCGGCTTAGTCATGCTGGCCACATGACCCGGAAGCTGTACGCCGGCTCCCTTGGCCAATAAAGCGAGATGAACGCCGCAACTCCAGAGTCGGTCACGACTGGATCTAATGGTCAGGGGTCCCTTTATCTTAACCTTTACACTTCTGGTTGGTCCCTGCCTAGCAAGCATGGGTCCAAGAGGTTTCCCCACACTTTCTAGGCACAGGTCTGAGCAGTTTCCCCATTCCCTGGAAAACCTGGAAACTGGAACAAATGACAACTTGCAGAAGATCCAATTGCTTTTCCGACTCAGTGCTAAACCGCAGGTTTTCCTGGGGGAAGCCGGCGAGGCAAATGGAGGTGTAAAAAAGCCCTTAGAAGGGCTGGGTGCACTTTTTAGTTTAAATACCTGGGCATCAAAAACCCTGGCAAGTCACCCAGAGATCTATGTGCAGATCTTCCTGCCCACACCTGGCCTAACCTCTTTCATGCTGGGTGGGTAGGAGGAAGGACTGATAAGCTATTTAGAAATCTTCCATGTGGCTATAGCCACCTCTTGTTTATCAGGCATCTAAGGCTGTTGCCACCTGTTCTGCTTGAACAGGCTGGTCTGATCTGTAAAAGTTTCACTCTGATGTATTTATTGTTTTCATCTGCCAACTTCATACCTGGCAGTGCTTGGGAATTCTAAGGCTTATCCTCACCTCTGGGAAAACCTGTGATTCAGTGCTGAATCTGAACAACCGGGAATCGGGTTTTCATTCCCCATAACTGAGCTCTTCTTGCCCCCATCCCCGAGACACGAGAAATCCTCTTTCTGCTTAGAGTTACATCCAGCCTTTGCTGTGGATGCAACTTTGGCGATGGTCCTTTTGTTCAGATTCCAAAGGAGTGCCCGCCCTTATATAGACATTTTAAATTGCCCGCCCTGGAGTCCAAGACCACCCCCAGACACATCACAGAAAGGGCGGTCTACAGCAGAAATCTGAGTGCGTTGTTTATCTCCTGTCTGGCAGGTTACCTGTTAATGCTTACTTGATTGGATACCCTGGGGAGCCTGGCCAGTCTTTTGTAATGATAAATACTTAGTTCCTGAGCCAGGTCACAGGCTCACCTTATTCATACACAGATATACCCTTAAGACAGGTTTTGTGAAGGAAAAGACAATGGGGAGGCTTTTCCATTTTCCTTTGACCTTGCAGAGAAAACATTTGGTCAGTTTGGGAGCCAAAATGGCTCCAGGACTGCCCTCCTGTGCTGCCACAGACATGTGGCCCATACATTTATGTACATGTTTGCTTGGTTCATTTATGAACATTTATTATATGTATATAATACCTTAATATTTTTATTTCAATGCGAACACGGACAAAAAACCACTCCCTGATCTCGTGAACTGTCACGCAAAATTCAGCCAAGGCATCTAAAGAGGTCCAAATGCACAGTGAACATACAGCTTTCCAAAACAGGTACAAGACCCACCAATTCAGCCTTTCCTAAGCGGCTGCTGCTTATCTCGACTGCCGATAGCATCCCTTGAGAGAAGAGGCAAAGACGTTTCGGTGATAAGGGAGGCCTGTTATTATTTGTAATATGGGAGGCCTGCTATTATTTGTGACCTGCTACCCGAGAGTGTTTTGCTAGGAAATTCGCCCCAGCTGGTTTCAAGATGGGAAATGTTTAACAGAGTCACAAGATGTAACAAAGTAGGTTTCTGTTATGGGAGAAAGTTGCGTTTAGCCATTTAAGGAATGCAAATAGAGAGGAAATGCCCCTGACACTGGGGAGAGGGGGGAGGAAAAGGGAGAGAAAGTGTTTGTGAGGAAGGTCCAAGTGAGGCGTCGTCGCTCACTACCTTAATGCTTAAAGCCCACAGTTCACTAAGGCTGAGGGCCTGGGAAGAGGATGGCCCCAGCCTTAGTGCTCCCATAGAAACTGGGCTGCTGTAGTGTGTGAATGTTATTATTTATTTAGTTAATTTGTATACAGTGGTACCTTGGTTCTCGAACTTAATCCATTCCGGGAGTCCGTTCGACTCCCAAAACAGTTTGAAAACCAAGGCGCAGCTTCTGATTGGCTGCAGGAACTTGTTGGACGTTCGGCTTCTGAAAAACATTCGCAAACCGGAACACTTAACTTCCGGGTTTGTGGCCTTTGGGAGCCGATTTGTTCGGCAACCAAGGTATGTTTGAGAACCAAGGTATGACTGTACAGTGGTACCTCTCGTTACGTACTTAATTTGTTCCAGAGGTCCATTCTTAACCTGAAACTGTTCTTAACCTGAAGCACCACTTTAGCTAATGGGGCCTCCTGCTGCTGCCGCTGTGCCGCCACCGCGCGATTTCTGTTCTCATCCTGAAGCAAAGTTCTTAACCCAAGGTAATATTTCAGGGTTAGCGGAGTCTGTAACCTGAAGTGTATGTAAACCGAGGTACCACTGTACTGGCCATCATCTGCATGTTTCAGGGTGGTTCACAGCATAAAAATACAACATAAAACACCAAATACATGATAAAAACAAGAACAAAAATAATAATAACCGAATCATCAAGCCCCTCCCCAAATACACTCGATGCTGTTCAGGCTGTTCAGGAAGCAAAGGGGCTGGAATAAGAGAGGGAACTCTGAACCCCAACAGTGATGTTTATGAGGAACTGCATGCTAAGATTTGTGTGAGTGCAGAATTACAAAAACATTGAGGAAGGAACGCCCTAAAGAGCCAGGAGTGAACATGCTCGGAGCCAACAAAAGTGGTGGAAGGGGCATACCCTCCAACATTTCTCCGATGAAAATAGGGACGTCCCATTCCATGATGATAATTTTACTGTTTATACCCCACATATCTTACTGAGTTGCCCCAGCCACTCTGGGCAGCGTCCAACAGATATAAGAAACATAATAAATTGTTTTAAAAAATCCTTCTGTATACAGGATCGCTTTCAGACGGCTTGGGGGGGTCGGATAATTCCATACCCTCCAGCATTTTTTCACTGGAAATAGGGATATCCTAAGGAAAAATGGGACATTCCGGGATCAAATCATAAACTGGGATGGCTTTTCTAAATCAGGGGTGTCCCTGGAAAATTGGGACAGTTGGAGGGTCAGGGGGGGGAACAGAGATGGAAAACTGAGGGGGAAGCAAGAATGGAGTTGCATGTCCTGGGATAAGGGCATGGCTAGCTGAGTCGCTAGAACCCTGAGCGGGACATTCCACGCTGCAACATTTTGTTGCTGGCCCTGTTAGTTAATCTTTACCCCAGTTGGAACCTTTCCCTGGGATTCAACTTGCTTTGGTTAGTCAGCTGCACCCTGGAGAGGGTTTTTAATTCCCGTATTTGTTAACCGGTTAGCTAATGATCAATGCCAGGCTGCAATTAAGAAACTTCCAGAGATTCTTGAGCAAGGAGACGCCACCCCATTGCTCTTCCCGCCCGCTGCATATGGCAAACACCCTGCTCCACTTCTCTAGCTGTCAGGAATTTGGAATGTGGGGCAGCCGCTTCCCAACACACTCCTGCGCCTTCCAGGGCAGCCTGCCGTGCAGAAAAATTATGGGTGCCTCCAGACTGCCGCGGTTTTGCGGGAGGGATTCAGTCGCATACCGGAAGTTTAGTTTTGTGCAATTAACGTGATTTAAAGGGCTCCGTCGCCCTGTCACAACAAATCCGGTTTGGAAGGTGGCGGAGGGGAATGATTAACGGGAAGGCTTTTAATCAACACCCTGCAAGCAAATCGGGAGGAATGCTCACTAAAGGCCGGATATAATCTCATCTCCGCGTAAGGTTTGTGCAGGCAAACCAGGACAAAGGTGCCCAGGAATTAGGTCACCTGGAAGGGTCTGAATGCAGGCAGAGTGTTTCTCTCGGGCAAGGAGATGGGGGGCGGCAGAAGCTTCACCCCATAGCGACTGAACGTGACTGTGTCAGCCGGCAATTAACGGTGCAGCAGGAGAGTCCGTGAAACTAACAATGGCAACTCTGTCAAGGAAGTGGAACAAGGTCCTCTAGTTCCTGGCTCTCTCTGGAGAGGGCATTCCATATCCAGGGGGCCACCACTGAAAAGGCCACTCACTCCTATTGGACCTAGCTTGGTAGTGTTGCAGGAATTTATGTATAGGTTGGGGGGGGTTGCCCCTCCAGCAGATATCATGCACATGCAGCCCACTACCAAAATCAGCACTTTGTGACTTTTGTGATTTGTGCCCACAAAACACTTCATCGCAGTTTCTTCCTATCTATTCAAAGGGCCTCTGCTGCACGATACCAAATGTAAGAATTCACTGATAAATGTTCCTATGTACTGGCTCACTGGGAAAACTTCAGAAATTCATATAGACATGTGAGCTCAGCTACTCAGCAGCCCCTCTGCCTGAGTGATAATTCCTGGCATCCTGATACCTGAGTGCCAGACAGGTAGCCATTCCAGAAATAACAAACCCAGATGAAGACAAAAGGGTGTGATTAACTTGGCTGGGAAACAGGGAAATGTAAATATCTCTTTTGTTACACTTGACGGGTGTTTGGTGGAGGGCAAGGGGAACCATGGGGCAGGGTCCAGGATGCTCAGATCACTGCCACCAGACCTCCCTTTTCATGATGTAACCATGATGTATTAGTGATGTAGTTTGGGGGTGTGTAACATGGGGATTAGCAGTTTATAAAAGTTTGGGGGCTCTTTTGTTCAGGGCTTCCATCTTGTTCCACCTTGTGGCAGGTGGCAGTCCTGTCGTGACAGCCTTCAATAAAGACCAAGCCTACTGGCTGCTGTTTTGCTCTGGTATTCCTGGCTGGTGTCCTTGTTTTTTGTCCAAGGGAGCCCTCAGATTTCTCCGGAGAAGATGTCTTGGACTGGCTGGATGCAGAGGAATGGTGGGAGGAGCCAGGTGGGGAACTCCCAAAGGAAGAAGGCTCAGAGCCCGGGGAGTGGTGGTGGGATGATGGTGAGTGATCAGAGGGAGAAGACTGGGAAGAGGAGGTCAGGAAGCTGGAGGGGTAACAGGACTTAATGAGCAGGGAGAATCTGTGGCAGAAAGCAGTCCAGAATCAGAGGCAGAAGCTGAATCAGGAGAGGCAGGAGGCCAAGAGGCAGAGAGGGGTCAGGCTGGTGAAGAGTCAGAGGTGTCTTCCCCTCCTGCTGCGACAAGCTCCCCTCCCTCCTTGTCTCACAGAACCCACAGAGGTGTGAAGAGGACGGAGCAAAGAGAGGCATGGCAACGAAGTCTCAGATTGCTTGGGAAGGCTACCAGGGAGGAGGATCCTGGGACAGCTGTGGTAAGGCTGGTTTCATCTCCACAATAGACCTGTTGTGCTCATGAGGCCTAGCTCCCCTGAGCAGACCTTGTTCCTTCTAATAAAGAGTTGACTTCACCTACTCCGTGTGATTTATTGCTGGCTGGCTTCTGTTCCACTTTCTCCCTGCCACGCACCAATTTTATAAACTTCCACCGTGTTGATTCTTTTACCCCACTAATCCTTTTATTCACCACCACCCCTTAACCCCTTCCTGTGCTGCAGACCCGGAGTCCATGCTGGGTGCAGAAGGCCCAGGGAAGTGTTAAAAGAACAGCAGAGATCTGTTCCAGATGGGTAGCAAAGGGCCAGATCATGCAGCTGAAATGAAAATTTGTAGGTTTAAGGCAGGAAAAAAAGCAACACTTTATTTGAAAAAAGTATCAGGAAAAGCACCAACAGGCTTACAAGAAGTTTGTTCAAAACTGGGAAACATCTGATAATTATGGGAAAACAATCTGCGTAGGTTTGATATACTTTTCTGAGTTTCTATAAGTTGCACATCTTGTGCACTGTCTACATCAGAGTAGACCCAGTGAAATTAATGGGCCTCAGTTCATCATGTCTATTAATTCCAATGAGTGTACGCTGAGTTGATCGAATGCTGGATAGAAGTTTTAGAAACCTTTACATTATTATTATTTTGTATTAACAGAAATGAAATAAAGTTTTTATATGTAATACTGCACAGGATCCAGGATATTTCTTCATCCATGGCTTGGCACTGCATAGAAAGAGGTAGAGAGACCTTCCTGGTTATCGGGAATCTGTTGCCCAGAGGGCGAGGCTGTGGAAAGATTTGGAGATTAGAATATTCATAGGGTATTAGTGATGTGGAGCTTGTACAGTATAAGCTGACACAGAGAGAGAGAGAGAGAGAGTTCTTTGCCCCAAACAGCTTACAAAATAAAGTTTGCAAGAGGAGAAGGAAAATAGAGGCAAGATGAACACGTGACGAAATGATTTCGAGCTGAGTACTGTATTTTTCGCTCTATAAGACACACTTTCCCCCTCCTAAAATGTAAGTGGAAATGTGTGTGTGTGTCTTATGGAGTGAATGCAGGCTGCGCGGCTATCCCAGAAGCCAGAACAGGGAGAGGGATTGCTGCGCAGCACTCCCTCTTGCTGATCTAGCTTCTGGCTTAGCCGCGCGAAGCCTCTTCAGGGCGTGGGGAGCCTTCATCCCGCTGCCCTGAGGAGGCTTCACGTGGCTATATACGGTAGCTTGTTGTCGAGCATGAACAAAAAACTGGATGCAGCAGCAATAATTCACTATCAGTAGAAGTCACATTCAGAGATGCCAACTTTTCCTAGCAACCCCTGCTCCTGTGCCTTTTAAAGCAACCAGATCTGTAGGCATTCGTAGGTAACAATGCTCATGCCTGTGCGGGGTGAAACTTTCCCTGCTGGTTTCTGCAGAACACCAAGGCGTTGGGGGCTTTCGTGTGCGTGTTTGTTTGGCAATTTGTCTCGCAGGAAATGTTCAGCCACCAGTGGAGAAAATCATTCCCTTTTTGTAAGCGGGAGGCTGCCGTTGTGGTTGGTGTCAAGCCTGGTGCCACCTGGTGGCTACTTCAAGCTTTGCCACCTGCTCCAGGGGGGAAATCCACCCAGCTTTTTCCAACGCCACAATGGATTGCAGTGGCTCGTGCCTCTTACAAAGACCCTCCAAGTGCCCCTGTTTTCCAGGGACAGTCCCGGATTTACAGAAACCAACCCAGGTTCTGATTTGATCCCAGGATGTCTTGATTTTCCTTAGAACCAAATGCTTTGGAAAGGCAGGATGGACATAGCCTGCTGCCTCTCATCCCAGGAGAGGGTGTTCCAAAGACGGAAGGTTCCAATGCCAGGATGGAAGAAGGACCACTTTAACAGAAGGTAAGACATAGGAACACAGGAGGCTGTCCTGAGTCCAGGGGTGATGCCAGGCCCAGGAGGCTCAGACGGACAAGGCCGGGGGATGGGAGAGGAGGTCCAGAGGAAGCAGGAATTTGTCCCTCCCAAGATATGGTTGATAGGGTGGCCATATGTCCATACTTTCCTGGATATAGCCGGAATATGACAGTCATAAGCAGTGTCCGGCTGGGAAAGCCACGCCGAAAGTTTAGATAAGGAGCTATTCTTTAAAATAGCTCAAAACTTCAGTGGTTTTGTTTTTTGTGTTTTTTGTGTTTTTTGCAAACAAACAAAAAAGCTCAGCAACTTTGGTCAAACAACAACAACAACAGCAGCAACAACAACAGGAGAGTTTGGACTTGATATTCCGCCTTATCACTACCCAAAGGAGTCTCAAAGCGGCTAACATTCTCCTTTCCCTTCCTCCCCCACAACAAACACTCTGTGAGGTGAGTGGGGCTGAGAGACTTCAAAGAAGTGTGACTGGCCCAAGGTCACCCAGCAGCTGCCTGTGGAGGAGCGGGGAAGCGAACCCGGTTCCCCAGATTACAAGTCTATCGCTCTTAACCACTACACCACACTGGCTCTCAGCAACTTTTGTGTCCGGATTTTCACTTTTTGAAATATGGCAACCCTAGCTCTGGATGGAAAGCAGGACTCTACCCTAGCCAACAGCCAGGGTTGCAGGAAGCGGCGCCAGGAGTGGGGCACCGCTTGTTCACCCAGGCCCTGGTGGTGCCCCTATTTCTGGGAACAGACCCTCTTCCAACACAGTGACCGCCTTCACTCAGGAGTCTTGTGAGGCAGGAGAGTCCTGTGAGTAAGCAAGCCTTGCCCCTTGGGACAGCCCTATTGCTTCCGCCCAGTTCTGAACTGCTTGTCCAGATCTTGGACTCTCTGTAAACTGGAACCACTGCTTGCAGCCCAACTGGACTTGCCTTTCCTGTCGCTCAGGTGTGAGTCGCTGCCTGTTGCCAAGGCTTTTCCTCTACTCTGCCTCAATGAAGGCCTCTTCCTCACTCTCAAGTCATCAGGGTCTGAGTGGGAATCAGGACAGAAGCTGCCTTGTAGCAAATCAGAACACCGGTCCATTTAGCTGTCAGGTGTGGGATCTCACCCAGCCCTACCTGGCGATGCCAGGATTTGAACCAGGGACCATCAGTGTGCAAGACGATTCTCCCCCACTGAGCTAGTCATACCTCGGGTTACAGATGCTTCAGGTTGCGTATTTTCGGGTTATGGACCCGTCGAAACCCGGAAGTACCGGAATGGGTTATGTCTGGGTTTCAGGAGTCAGGCATGCGCAGAAGCGCTAAATTGAGCTTTGCGCATGCGCAGATGCGCCGAATCGCAACCCGTACATGCGCAGACATGCCACTGCGCATTGCGAATGCTGTGAGTTGTGAACGTGCATCCTGCATGGATCATGTTCGCAACCCGAGCGTCCACTATACTTGGCTCAGCCCCAAACCTAGGGTACCTGGAAGGCCTTTATTGATAGACAGGTCCACATGGGTTTTTGATGTCTTCATTGCTGTGCTTGAAAGAGCAGCTTGACTAGTTAATGTTTCATGCAGATCAAACTGCTGTTAAAGGCAAAGGAGCAGGCTGTGCAAGGTTCTTCTGATCAGTTGGCTTTGGATTTATGGATTTTCTTGGCATCCTAGCTCTGGGCAGGGGAGGAGAAGCACCGCACGACCCTGCTTTCCTACGAGCTGAATTTGAGCCCAAACTGGGGAAGGAGCAAACGCCCCAGAAGTTGTGGGTCCTGCGAGATCGAGCCCCCACTTTCACTACCAACCCAACAAGCTGTCAACATACCTTGCAAAAGTTAGGGACTTTCCGCCAAACTCATCATTCACGGGATGACTTTGCGCCTCAGGGAAGTGAGGGAGCCTAAAAGGGCAGAGGAAATGGGTTCATTAAGTACGTCCACATCCTGCCCTTCCTCCAGTGATAAAGAAACACAGAGATTGTCCTATTTTAGCCTCACAACAATTCTGCTAGGTAGGACAGGGTGAGTGGCTCAAGGCGGCCAAGGGAGCTTTGTGCTCCAGTGGAAATTCAAACCCTGGAACATTTATAGAACATTTCCCCTCCCACCCGATAAATCTTGGGAAACTGTGGTTTGTTGTGCTGGGGGGTCCTGGTTCTGTAAATTGTACTGTTTTAAATGTGCATTTTACATTTGACTTCACTTAGCAATGTTTTCTTTCGGAATGTTTAAGATTTTTTTTGTTAACTTTGTTTGTGTTAAATACGTATTCTGTAGTTGACCTCCTTTGTAATGTTTCATTTTGAAATCTTTAAGATAATATTTTAGTTTCCTGTTAATTATGTTGCTTTGGCTGTATACTTTATATTTGACTTTCTTCGGAAATGTTTGATTCTGGATTGTTTTAATCTGCTGTAAACCGGTTTAAGATTTTTCTTAAAAATATAAAGCGGTATTGAAATGAAATGAATAATAATAATAAATAATAATAATAATGCAGTTCCCAGGCTTCTTTGGGGTGTACATGTTTGCTTTAAAGGTATGGTGCATTCCTGTCAACTGCTTTGGAAAAAACCAGGACATCCCGTTTCTTCCTGAGAGAGAACAGTGGCCACTTTGGGAGCCTTGCTGTTGTGCAATTTCGGGCTGAAAACTCACCCCGAAAAAGCGCCTTTCCCAGATCTGTGATCTCACACAGGCCATGTGACATGTGCAGGATTTCAGAGCCGAATTTGCGCCATGTCGTGTTGGAAGGTATGATAGTGTGTGAGCCTGAGATTGTCTGTGTGAGATGGCCAATGATGCATGTAGCATATGGGCCAAAACAAAACGCTTTGCCACTGGTCCTTATTCCCATCTCTAGGGACTTAAGAAGAACCCCACTGGGTCAGAGCAAAGGTCTGTCTGGTCCAGCACCCTTTCCTCACAGCACCCCACCAGAAGCCTCTAAGAAGCCAACGAGCTGAACTCTCATTCCCCAGTGGCTAGTTTTCAGAGACCTGCTGCCACCATGACTGGCAGCCTTCGAGAGAGAGAGCCTTATCCTCATTTCTGAAGCTGTGTATCCTAGCGGTTTGTGTGCCACTCACAGAATAGTCCGGAGAAGACGGGCATCAGGGCGTCTGCCCAGGCGAGCGATCCAAGCAAGGTCCCAGCGACGACGGCTGCGCTGTAGGTCAAAGAGGCAGAGGCACGACCTTTTTGGGAGCCATGACCTTTTTGGGGGTCATGACCTGAAAGAGGGGGAAAAGGATTGGGAATGAAAGCCTTGATCCAGAATCCGGCTCCAAACAGCTGCCCTGTTGCGATCCAGAGGTGCGTTCCAACACCCGCGCAACAAGGTCTTTCCAACTGTTAAATAAACCTTAAATAAACAGCTTAGGTAGTGATTCAATCTGCGTGAATTAAATGTATCCCAAACTCCCCACCGCCTGGCCGTACAAGGTAAGCTGGCAACTTTATTTTGAAGAGGTCAAAGCATCCCTGAACAGGTGCGCATGGGATGGCACTGATTTGCACATGGCTGAAACAATAGTTTAAAGTCCCAAGATGGCAGAACGAATGTTTTTTAGACCAGGCGTTCTCTCCAGTGTGAGAGAATGAGGCAGGGATCCCTCTCCCAACCTGGGGGCTTGCTGTCCTCCCTAATAATAATAATAATAATAATAATAATAATAATAAGTTATTTATACCTCGCCCATCTGGCTGGGTCCTTCTTAGTACTCAATCTAAGTACTTCTTAGATCAAGGCCCTGTCTAATATTAATAATAATAATAATAATAATAATAATAATAATAATAATAATTTTTTATTTATACCCCACCCATCTGGCTGGGTCCTTCATAGTACTCAATCTAAGTACTTCTTAGATCAAGGCCCTGTCTGTACTATGCAGTGGTACCTTGGTTCTCGAACTTAATCCGTTCCGGGTGTCCGTTCAACTCCCAAAACCGTTCAAATCCCCCTTGCAATATTGTATATATTCATGTGGCTGCCGCCTAGTGGCCAAAAGGCAAACTGCTCTCTTGAGAAACAGAGCTGAGTTCTTGGGAGCTGGTCCAAGATGGATGCTGGACTACAAACTGTGTAACAGAAACCAATAAATAAGACCACATATTGGGCACCTGCTGGTATAGCATACATATATTATACCTCTTCCCAGGGAATTCTGGGAATTGTGGTTCTGTGAGGGGAAGGTGTCTCCTAACAACTCTCAACCACCATAGCAAATTACACTTCCCAGAATCCTTTGGGGGGAAGCCATGACGGTTTAAAGTGGCATCAAAGTGCTTTAAATACGTGGTGTGGGCAGGACCTAAAAGAGAGGAGGACTAGTTGATCAGTTTATGGTCAGGATCCGCCTTCTGCTACTCTTGCCTGGCCTTCTCCAGAGACCAGACTCTCTGCGTCTCCATAGCACAGCAACTCAGCACCTGCTCAAGATGCTCAGGACAGCAGCATGCTGTGAGCAACCCCCCAAGTTTGCGCTTCTTTCATTGGGAAGCCGGATAGAAATTAAGACCTGCAACCAATCCCATTACTTTCCACCACTCTTTGGAAAAGTGCAACAGTGGTGTCAGAAGTTAAACCGCAGCAGGAGAGAAAGCACTACAAGGGACTCCTCTTGGCCAAGGAAATGTTTTGCCCCTGGAATGCAAATGTTAAGTTTGGCGCCCCCCCCCGCTAGTGCTTGCAGTGGGGTTTCAATGTCTAATCGATGGAGTGGTTTGATGATGTTAAAAACGCTTTTAAGGGGCCCAAAAAGGAAGAAGTCATTGTTTATTTAAGCAGGTGGCTGCCGTACGGTGTAGAGCTTTGGAGAGGATGGATACTTGCCAGATTGTCGGAGGACGTCAAGATAGATCTGTCCCTTGTGCACCTGAAAGTCTCCAATTTCAGGTTCCTGGGGGAAAGGCTGCTGCCCTGGTTGTTGCTGCTGGTTCAGAAGAGATTCGATCTTCACCGTGTAGTTGCCGGTGTCAGAAACATCAAGCTGCCTGATGTGCAAGGTGCAATCCTGCCTCAAAGTCGTTCTGCCTTGGGACAAGCTTTGCTGGTCTGTGTCCTCTGGGTCGTATTCGAGAACTTTTTCTTGCCCGCCCCTGGGGTGTATGACCCACTTGCAGAAGCTTAATTGCTTTGGGGCATTTTGTGGGGTCAGGGTGAGGTCCTGACCTTGAACAGGACGTTGTGGGTTGAGGATTATGGACATGAGGTCTGTAAAAATAGAATTCGTGAGGATTTCACATGGCTCAGGATGAGAGTTGAATATACCGTATTGGCCTGAATATAAGCCTCGTATTTTCCCCCAAATTCCGACTCTGAAAAGTTACCGTATTTTTTGCTCTATAAGACTCACTTTTTCCCTCCTAAAAAGTAAGGGGAAATGTGTGTGCGTCTTATGGAGCGAATGCAGGCTACGCAGCTATCCCAGAAGCCAGAACAGCAAGAGGGATCGCTGCTTTCACCGCGCAGTGATCCCTCTTGCTGTTCTGGCTTTTGGGATTCAGAATATTTTTTGTTTGTTTTCCTCCTCCAAAAACCAGGTGCGTCTTGTGGTCTGGTGAGTCTTATAGAGCAAAAAATACGGCAAACCATTAAATTTGAGACCTTACAAAAATGGGCTTTTACGATATCACTGTAGGATTTTCTTCTACATTTGCCATTTATGGCTGTGAGTGCCTGCGGAGTTTTAAAGGAGTGGCTTATATTCGGGTATTGTCTCCCCCCCCCTTTGAATTTTAAAGGTGCGGCTTATATTCCGGCCAATACGGTATATATATATTTGGAAAGCAGGTTGCCAATTTATTTCACAGCTTGCACTCCTGTGCCCCAATCAGCAGCCGGACCCACAGACTTTGCCAAATGTTTATCACTGTGCTTCTGCAAACCAAGTTTGTGCAGCCTATCTCCTTTCCTTTCCTTTCCTTTCCGGTCAACTAGCAACTTTATGTGGAAGGGGCCAAACTACCCTTAAATAACTTTGCTCCTCCCCCTGCTGGATTGCCACTTTTTTCATAGTCCCTGCTCCTACGCCTTTTGGACAGTAGCCTTGAAATGAGCGGCTGAAGCTTTTATCAACATGGGCAAAAATCCAGACAGAGGTGTGTTTTTTTCTGACATCCAAATCTCAGATAGGTCTGGGAAACCCTGGACATATTGCAGCCCTAGGCAAGTACTGGGGAAAATCTTCCAACAACATTCTACCACACCCCCCCCCCCAGAAGAATACAGGAGTTGGTTTAAAAGGCAGAAAATTCCCACGGTCTTTTCTGACCCTACAATTTTAAATTTATTTAGAGCCAAAACTTCCAGGAATGGATGGTGAATTGATAGGAGTGCACTGAGATCGAATTAGGGCTTGCCAGCTGACCAGAAAATCTGCCTGCTGTTGTGCCTTACGCACACACACTTATTTATTGATACTCATCCATAGAGATACAAAAATACATACACATTGCAAAGTAGCTTTTTTATAATATGCTAAGATAAAACAGCTACTTAGTCTAAAAAAGAACAAAGCCAGAAAGAAGAAAACACAAGACAAGGAGAGACCTACAGAAAGAGAAAGTGAGAGAGAAGAGAAAGAACGGACTAAAATAAAATAGAAGAAAAATGACTTTTGGCTCTCTGTCCTGCGGCTACTCATGACATTTGTTCCTTAAACCACAACCATTCTATCTTCTATAAAGTAGTGCTTTTAAAATATCCAAATCCCGATAGTACACGTTCATTTCCTCTATCCTGCAAAAAGTCCATAAGAAATTTCCAATCCTTAACCAGTGCCAGCAATGATTTTTCTCTAATTAAACATGTCGGCTTTGCCATCTCAGCCAGCTCCAGTAATTTTATCAGCCGTTCTTCCAGAGCGGGTCTCTTGTGCCCTTGATATATAGAAGGCCTGTCTGCAGAGACTGGCAAAGCCAAGCCTTTCATGGTGTGGGAAAAAAATAAGAAATATAATAATAATAATAATAATAATAATAATAATAATAATAATAATATTTTTATCCCACCCATCTGGCTGGGTTTCCCCAGCCACTCTGGGTGGCTTCCAACAGAACACTAAAATACAATAACCTATTAAACATTAAAAGCTTCCCTAAACAAAGGGCCATTGCAGTTGGCGGCAGCGAGAACATTTGCAGCAGCAAGCAGCAATCCGCGGAGTTGGGGGAAACCTCCGGCCCTCCACAACTCTCTCGATGGCCCCTGGAATCCTCCCCAGGCCATGCCTTTCACAGGCGCTGCTGCTCCAGACCCTCCCTGAGGGCGTTTGCCTGGCGGACTGGCCCCCCGAACTTCGACAATGCCCCTTGCTTGCCTGAACAGAGGATAGGGAGGTGTTTGTTTGCGGAGACTAACCTCCTGCGCAGAGGAAAAACTGAGCATTCTATGTTAATGGCTAGAAATTGGAAAGACACCAACAAAGGAAGAATGGCAAGATAAATTGTATTTGGAATTAGCAAGAATGACAGTTAGGAACCAGCCAAACCAAAATGTCAGAAAAGAAAAAAAGAAAAAGTAAAAAGGAGTGGGAACGTGTAAAAGATTATCTAGGGAAACATTGTTCTCAGATAAAAACCCTTGATATGTTCCGACTGAATTTTGCAACGTGAAGGCCAGATAGATGAGATATATTACCTATTAGAAAGGCAGTAAGGAAAAACAAGGGACGCGGGTGGCGCTGTGGGTTAAACCACAGAGCCTAGGACTGGCCGATCAGAAGGTTGGCGGTTCGAATGCCCGTGACGGGGTGAGCTCCCATTGCTCAGTCCCTGCTCCTGCCAACCTAGCAGTTCGAAAGCACGTCAAATACAAGTAGATAAATAGATACCACTCCGGAGGGAAGGTAAACGGCGTTTCCGTGTGCTGCTCTGGTTCGCCAGAAGCGGCTTAGTCATGCTGGCCACATGACCCAGAAGCTGTACGCCAGCTTCATCGGCCAATAAAGCGAGATGAGCGCCGCAACCCCAGAGTCGGCCACGACTGGACCTAATGGTTAGGGGTCCCTTTACCCTTTACCTTAAGGAAAAACAGCACAGCTGAAAAGAGAACGAAGACAGAAGAAGCTGCACGGAGGTGGTGGGAAGAAATATTGTGTAGAAATGTTGTTATCGTTTGGTTTTTATATGTGTGCAATATATGTTAAAAAGTGAATGGAATATGTAGATGAATAACCAATTTAAAACTCAATAAAAAGCAATTTAAAAAGAAGAAGAAGGAAAAACTTAACGTTCTCCACCCTGCTCACTTTTGCCTCTGGTGCAACGCTAAGAAAAAAGGATGGCCCTTTCCCCATTACATTGTGGTTAAAGAAACAGGAGCCTTTCTTTGAAAAAGGTGGCGACCGAGCGGTTTGGTACTTACTTGAGATTTGCAAATAATAAGATTCTGAGAGGTTTCTCCCTACAAATTGTTGCCCTTGGCCTGTTTGCTGGTCCGTGTCGAGCTGAATCACCACGGTGTAGTTCGCCGCATCGGACTGCGTCAACCTCGCGATATACAAGGAGCACCCATCTCTCAACGTCTCCCGTCCGGTGTGTCCGGGGCCTTTTTCTGGCTGCCTCTGCCCAAATTGCGTGAAGATGTTCTCCACTCTCCCTGAGCGGCTTTGCCGGAACCACTGGCACTGCGCGAACTGCCGGGGGGCGTTCCTCAGAGACAGCTTGACATCCTTGCCCAGAAAAGGCTCAATTGGCTCAGGGGTCAAAGACAACTGGGGTTGAAATTGTGCTGGCACCAGCTGCAACATGCAGCTTAGGAGGAAACCTAAGGAAAGGGGAGGGAAAATGGACTAAGACTTCTTCTACAGGGCAATGGTCTAACACACACAATAACATACCCTCCAACTTTTCTCCGGTGAAAATAGGGGCGTCTTATTCCTTAACACTCCTGCCAACCTAGCAGTTCAAAAGCACATCAAAGTGCAAGAAGATAAATAGGTACCGCTCCGGCCGGAAGGTAGATGGCGTTTCCGTGCGCTGTTCTGGTTTCGCCAGAAGCGGCTTAGTCATGCTGGCCACATGACCCGGGAAAACCGTTTGTGGACAAACGCCAGCTGCCTCGGCCTGTAAAGCGAGACGAGTGCCACAGCCTCAGAGTTGGTCACGACTGGACCTAATGGTCAGGGGTCCCTTTACTTTTACCTTTATTCCTTAACAACAACAACAGTTTTATTATTCTTGCCCCTGCCCATCTGACCGGGTTGCCCCAGCCACTCTGGGCGGCTTCCAACATATATAAAAACAACTTGAAACATGAAACATTTTTTTAAAAAACTTCCCTATACAGGTCTGCCTCCAGATGTCTTCTAAAGGTTGCATAGTTACTTATCTCCTTGGCTCGGGGGGGGGGGGGGTCGGATAGCTCCATACCCTCCAACATTTCTCTGATGGAAATAGGGACACCCTACTGTACACTCCGATATTTATCAGGTGAAAATAGGGATGTTCTAAGACTCTTGAGAGTCCCATGGACTGCAAGAAGATAAAACCTATCCATTCTTAAGGAAATCAGCCCTGAGTGCTCACTGGAAGGACAGATCCTGAAGCTGAGGCTCCAGTACTTTGGCCACCCCATGAGAAGAGAAGACTCCCTGGAAAAGACCCGGATGTTGGGAAAGATGGAGGGCACAAGGAGAAGGGGACGACAGAGGACGAGGTGGCTGGACAGTGTTCTTGAAGCTACCAGCATGAGTTTGACAAAACTGCGGGAGGCAGTGGACGACAGGAGTGCCTGACGTGCTCTGGTCCAGGGGGTCACAAAGAGTCGGACACGACTAAATGACTAAACAACAACAAAGGAAAAATGGGGCATTCCAGGTTCAATTCAGAAACTGGGACAGCTTTGGTAAATCTGGGGCCGTCGCTGGAAAAGGAGGCACTTGGAGGGTCTGCCATAAAGGACAAAGGAAGCTGGGTCTTTCTGTGCTTCAGGGTGTGGCAGAAAATGGTACCTTGAAGGGGAAAAGAGGAAGTTTGCTCTTCTGAACTGAAGATATTGGGCCAGCCTGCCCATGAGAAGGAGAAAGGCGGCCAGCTCAGGAGGCAGATTTGGGTCCAAGGAGCACACTGCCTACGGCCATGGCATGCCTCTGCCCCACTAGGAGTGTGCCCTGCTGCTGAGGGCACCCCCTGCCACCTCCCCCATCATGGGTGCATCCCACCACTTGCCTCCCCCTGCTACCACAACCTCTGTGGACGCACCCTAAAATCATAGAGTTGGAAGGGATTCTGAGGGTCTCTATTCCAACCCCCTGCAATGCAGGATTCTCAATGAAAACAAGCTGTTCTGCTGCGGCGGCTGCTTTGCTGCCATCTTCTCAGCTGCAGGTGTGCCTGCTGCAAGGAGGAGGCAGGTTGTGATCTGGGGGCAGCAGGTCCCGTCCCCCCCGGTCTCAAGTGCCAAAATGTCCCCTCCTGGCCCTGCGCCTTGTCCAGCCTGGCTGTTGATCCATCTAACCAGGGAGCCACAATTTAAGAAGAATATTGGCAAGCTGGAACGTGTGCAGAGGAGGGCGACCGAGAAGATCAAGGCTCTGGAAACCAAAGCCTTATGAGGAACGGTCGAAGGAGCTGGGTTAAGAGGAGATATGAGAACCGTCTTCAAATATCTCAAGGGCTGCTGCCACGTTGGAAGATGGAGCGAGCTCGTTTTCTCTGGCTCCGTAGGGTAGGACTCGAACCCAGGGCTCCAAGTTACAAGAAAGGAGATTGTGACTAAACATCAGGAAGAACTTTCTGGCAGTAAGGGCTGTTCAACAGTGGAACAGACTCCCATGGGAGGTGGTGGACTCTCCTTCCTTGGAGGTTTTTAAGCAGAGGTTGGGTGGCCATCTGCCAGGGAAACTTTTGCTGGGATTCCTGCATTGCAGGGGGTTGGACTAGATGACCCTCGGAGTCCCTTCCAACTCTACAGTTCTGTGATTCTATGACTCTTTTTGCCTACACTGAATGGCAGCGGCTCTCTAGGGTTTCAAGGAAGGGACACTCCTAGCCCAATCTGGAGAGCCAGGGATTGAACCTGCGGCCTTTTGCGTGCAAGAAAGATGCTTTGCCGCTGCCCTACTCACTTTCCTCAGCTTACCTGTCAGAAACATGACCTTCCGTGCTCCCTGTCGGCTGTTGGGGAGACCCATCGCCTTTTTCGCCTGCAGCCTGCAAAACTTTGAACACTTCCAAGAATCAGGATGGACGGACGGACAGGCAGAGCCTCTTCTCTGGACAAGGCTGGGTCCCTCTGTTCCACGTCCCTCTGCCTGCGACACTCGCTTCCTCCCCTCTGCCTGTTTCTCCTTTTGTCCTGCAGAAAAAAAGGAAGGAAACGGGTACCGTAACACAAGGACGACACATCCCTGCCTTCTTTGGTTCGTTTATTTTGCCGTTTCTGAGTTACACCATCTCAAGGTGACTAAGGCTGAGTCCTGGCAGTTCAGCCCTGTAGTGCAACTCCAGAGGTGTGGGGGAAAGCGGGTCACTGGGTTCTTGTGGGGCTGGCGGGGGAGATCAGCTGCCGCCCCTTCCATGCACAGAAGGAATTATTTATCAGTAGAGTGTCTTCAATGTACATTGTTAGCTAGGCAATACAGACAGGTCTCTGCTCTCAAAGCGCCTACAGTCTGCTATAGTGATGCAACAACACAGGGAGGGAAGGAGGGAGGGAGGAAAGGAGAAGCGGTAACTGCCATGCTTTAGTCTTGGCTGCAATCCTAACCCCACTTACCCAGGAGTAAGGCCCACTGAATTCAGTAGGACTTACTTCTGAGTAGGCACAGTTAGGAAACATGGCACAGTTCATAAGGATGGAAAGGCCTGTCAATTTTCGGTCTCTCAGTGTCTCATCTTTCCACTCTTAAATTCAGTTCTTACATTCAGAGGGGGAGATTTTCAGCCCTGAGGGCCACATTATTTGCTCCAAAACCTTCTGGGGGCCACACGCCAGGGCAGGCAGGGCCAGAGACAAACAATTTGTGCAAATATTACCTTTGCAAAGTAGGCTGCCTTGTGGCTCATCTTCAGGAGAAAAGGCTCAGGAGTGAACCCTACACAAATGTGGAGTGGAGTCCCTAAGACGGTTGGATGGTGCCTTTTTTGCAACTTCCGGCAACTCCTGCTGCCCAGCTGGTGTCAAACGTATTACTCTGCCTTCCTTTGGACCACATCAGTGAGGCTGAGAGGGGGGGTCTTGTCCTCTGGACAGCTCAGGACCTCCCAACACACTGCTCAGGCTCACGCCCCAGGGAGTTCAGTCTGGTGCTGCAAATGCAGCCAAAACGATGCTGGAGGCAGCAGTTACAAGTCTCCACAGCCACAGCAGGCGCTGCGATTCTCCAGCACTTAGACTTCACCCCTGGAAGCGCACTCCATTGTCTCTTGAGGCAGATGGATGCCCAAAGCCGTAAAACAGCAGGCTAATTCGATGCACGCCTTTCTTCAGCACCCAAACATTCAAGAGGCATTATCGGATTTCAAGGACGCATTCCCACTCAGGCCAAAGCACTCAAAGGGTGTAAGGAGGGGTCTTGCACGTGGAGCATCCCAGGGGCCAGGAATAAAGCCCCGAAGGGCCGCATTTGTCCCCGAGGCCTGAAGTTCCTCAGTCTACCAGATGCCATGGTGGAATCCGGCTGATGGAAGAGGCGCCTGGTAAGAAGACGGGGAGCAGGAATGGGCAGCTACCTTGAGGGGCAGCTTAAGTGTAGGACTAGGACCTGGCGGACCACAGTTCGAATCCCCACTCAGCCACCAATGAACTGTGACCTCGGGCCAGTCACTTTCCCTCTCAGCCTAATCTACCTCACGGGGTTGTTTGGGGGGATTCGTTGAGGAGCAGGAGAACCACGTGCACCACCTTGGGCTCTGTGGTGGTGGTAGGAAAGTGAGTATAAAAGCAACAAGTTCAACACAATGCAAAATCGTCCCGGCTTTGGCAGAAGGGGTAAAGAGAAGGTAAACAGATGGAGGCCTCCTCCTTCAGCAGCCAAGCATCCTCAAAAGGGATCCCAGATTGGCCAGTTCAATTTGTATGCTGTTGGGAGGTTGTTGTTGTCTTGTTGGGCTGTATATGAAACAAAGGGGAGCCACACTGGGGTGAAGGTGTCCTCTTTTGTTTGTTCCTGTGTTCATTTCAATTTTTATTTTATTTTTTGGTTAGCTTTTCTTGTAGGGGTGTTTCCCATACAGTTTGGTACCAGCGGTCCATGTTCACTCCTGACAGGTCCCTCCAGAGTCCAGCTAAAAAATACTCGAAGTCGAGAGTGGATTCAATACTCTTTATTCAGCTCATAGTGGTGAGGAGGAATGAAAGTTCCCCCAAAGTATATGCTTTATATACATTATTTACACAATGGGCTGCACGTGATTGGCTAATTCCGGGATTCTCCTGTAGGCCAATCAGGTTGTGGATTCACTTCCATCTGGAGCTGGATTGGGTGGCTCCTGTGGACCAATCAGACTGCTGCATTCTGAATCCTATTCTTCTAGGACCAATCAGACTGCTGCACTTTGGATCCTATTCAACTCCGTACATAACACCAGTTTTGACACTCTTAAGCAAGACCCAATGCAGTCAACTAAATACAGCCAACCAAGCTCTGAGCTCTCCAACCTCTCGCACCACTAACGGAAACAAACAAACAAACAAACAAACAAACAAACAAACAAACAAACAAACAAACAAATGAAGAACCTGCCCTCACAACTCTGAAACCAAACTCTGCTATCTTCTTCGTCTTTGGTTGTTCATTTTTGTTTTTCATCATTGTGCTGGTTCTGCAGACTGAAGTGGTCGAAAGGGTGCGTGTGAAGCTGAACATCTGGTTTAGCATCATGTTGGGAGTGGTTTTTCAGGCTGGGAAAGCTCTCAGCCTTACCTGGAGAGGCCAGCTATTGAAATTGGGACCTCCAGCATGCAGAGAAGGGGCTCTGCCACTGAACTATGGCCCTTCCCTGGCTCTCTATAGGTGTACAAGGTCCACCCCCTCCTTACCTGTCTCCCACCACCCTATGCCACTAAGAAGTGCAACCTACGTTTCCTGTCGCTTGCCTGCCCGTTGCAAAACAGCAGCATCGGTTCCATGATGCAACGCGTGGCTCTTGCTAGCTTCCTGGCAAGAATTAGGAAAGAAGGTTACGAAGTCCGTTTCCCTGCTCTCACCACCGCCTGACAGCAGCCGTTCAGAGTGGAGCAATGCAGCAACCGAACTGACGAAAGTCACAAAAACAGGCAAACTCCGATGGAGAGACGGGAGAAGTGAACGCTGCCAACTAGTGGCCATGCTGGGGTGTGCAGCTTGTTGTGGTATCCTTGCAGTTCTTAAAGCAGGTGGTTGAAACCTGTGGCCACTGGTCTGCTGTGTGGACTCCAGTTCCTACCAGCCGCAGCCAGCATGATGGGAGTTGTAGTCCAGCAATATCCAGAGGGCCACAGGCTCCCCATCTTTGCTTTAAACAATTGCATAGTTTATATCATTGTTAGGTGCTCACCTTTACAATGGCCCTGCTAATGGTTTTTAACAGAGCAGGAAATGATTTGGGAGAGGCAGCACTTCATATGGTGTACAGACATATTTTATTTCTCTCTCCATTGCCTCCAGAAAAACAGGTGCTGCCGGGTTTTGTAGTACATGCAGGTCCCGCTGTCCAACTGCTCATTAAACAAAAATTCGCTTGTTGAAATATGAGGCATTCGTACCTACACTTTGCTATGCACAGTGCAAATTCAGATATCCAAACAGCCAGACCTGCATGTGTTATTGTAAACAAATAAGCAGCCTTCATCTGGAAATATAGAAGCATAGAATCGCAGAACTGCAAGGGACCCTGAGGATCATCTAGTCGAACCACCCGCAATGCGGGAATATGCAGCTGTCTCACCCTGGGATCAAACCTGCAACCTTGGTGTTATCAGCACAAATTGAGCTATCCAGTTGCCCAAGCACTACTGCTGGGAGGGAGGGGGAGTGATCAGACAAAGAACAGAGTATATTTTCCCTTCCTTGTTTGGCTTTTGCAAGGTTTCAGAGGGTTTTCCTATTGTCCCCCCTCCCCCATCATTTCTTGTTCAAAATTCTGTGGTTGGGAACACATTAGAAGTTTCCCCATAGGAATCAATGGAAATCACTGACTTGTTATCCAAACACTGACCTAAAAAACGATTCCCTGACAATGCGTTGTGTTCAGGCAGCAGGACCTGCATGTAGCTCAAAATCCTATCTAACCTGTTTACTGGAAGTGGGATATGTGTTTGTGACCCAACAGCCACCTGACTTTTAAAGAATTTTCAGGCATGTTCTTGGCCAGGGTGGGGGTGGGGATATCTATTGCCTTTCTGCAACCTTAAGTGTTCAGCATGCATTCCGTACCCCTCTTCAACACCAGCTTCGTTGGACTGGTCATGTTGTGTGGATGCCTGGTGATCGTCTTCCAAAGCAACTACTCTATTCCAAACTTAAAAATGGGAAGCGTAATGCTGGTGGTCAACAACAGAGTTTTAAAGGCTGTCTCAAGGCAAATCTTTAAAAATGTAGTATGTTGTTGTTTGTTGTTGTTTAGTCGTTTAGTCGTGTCCGACTCTTCGTGACCCCATGGACCAGAGCACGCCAGGCACCTCTGTCCTCCACTACCTCCTGCAGTTTGCTCAAACTCATGCTGGTAACCTCGGAAACACTATCCAACCATCTCGTCCTCTGTCGCCCCCTTCTCCTTGTGCCCTCCATCTTTCCCAGCATCAGTGTCTTCTCCAGGGAGTCTTCTCTTCTCATGAAGTGGCCAAAGTAATGGAGCCTCAGCTTCACGATCTGTCCTTCCAGTGAGCACTCAGGGCTGATGTGCTGGTCCCGGGGGGAAAAGGTACTATTACCGTAGCCCAAGTTCAGTCCAGAGTCTCTAGCAGGGTAGACGATCACTAGATGAGACGCGAGGTCCGAAACAGGGAGTCGGGCGGGGAAACAGGAACGCTGGTAGGGCAGAAGCAGGAATCCAGGCGGGGAACAGGAACACTGGTAGGGCAGAAGCAGGAATCCAGGCGAGGAACAGGAACACTGGCAGGTCAGCAGCGGGCAGCCGGGCGAGGAACAGGAACACCGGAGAGTCAGAAGCAGGAAGCCGGGCGAGGAACAGGCACACTGGGAGTGCAGATCTAGGTCTGGGTAAAGCAGGTACTCCACAACGACGTTGCTCCCGCAACCTGGGACCGGGCTGCCTGACCTTTATCTTCTTCTAAGGCCGGGGGCGGTCCCGGCCCCCAGGAGCCCCGCCTCTCTTGGCCTTAAGGCGAGCACTCCTCCTGGGAGACACCAGTTCCCTTCGCCTCTCTGCCCTAAGCCTCTGTAGTTCAGGAGAGGCCGAAGGGTTACTGGGCCCCGGGGGAGGCTCACCTGTAGACACTGAGTCCTCCAGCACCTCTGGGGCCAGAATGGTTTCACCTGGTGCCTGCTCTTGAGGATCTGGCACAGGTGCAGGCTCCTCAGCATCTAGGCCTTGCCCCAGTTCAGCCGGCCCTGGAGGCGGGGGACTCCTGTGCCGGCTGGGATTCCTCCGGTTCACTCTCAGACTCGGAATCCCAGGCCATCACAGCTGATTTCCTTGAGAATGGATGTGTTTGATCTTCTTGCAGTCCATGGGAATGTAGTATAAACACTGACAAACTGGGAAACACTGGCCTGTGAGCGCTCCAATTGGAGAACAGCCTTGACCAAAGGTGTCATGGGCTTTGAAGACACTTGAACTCAGGACACAAGGGAGAAACGTGCTAAGAGGAAGGCATGCTTGGCAAATCCACACTGTGATCAACTCCCACCTGGAAACCAATGTCCCCACTGTGGAAGGACTTGTGGATCCAGAATTGGCCTCCACAGTCACTCATGGACTCATTGTTAAAACAATGAGAAGACAATCTTATGGAAGACAATCTTACTAGCCAAAGAAGAAGACATCTCATTCAGAGGAGGATGTATCTTAATCCAATGCAAACAAACAAGTTGTATAATCCAGAATGACGTAAGTTTATTACACTGCAAACACAATACAACGAGAAGAAGGTAAAGGTAAAGGTACCCCTGCCCGTACGGGCCAGTCTTGACAGACTCTAGGGTTGTGCGCTCATCTCACTCTAGAGACCAGGAGCCAGCGCTGTCCGCAGACACTTCCGGGTCATGTGGCCAGCGTGACGAAGCTGCTCTGGCGAGCCAGCGCAGCACACGGAAATGCCGTTTACCTTCCCGCTAGTAAGCGGTCCCTATTTATCTACTTGCACCCGGGGTGTGCTTTCGAACTGCTAGGTTGGCAGGCGCTGGGACCGAGCAATGGGAGCGCACCCTGCCGTGGGGATTCGAACCGCCGACCATGCGATCGGCAAGTCCTAGGCACTGAGGTTTTACCCACAGCGCCACCCGTGTCCCTACAATGAGAAGAAGCCAGCTACCAATTACTTGGCCAGCTGCTTCAAGACAGTCTCAGTTCTCGGTCTTTGTGGCCTCTTTGTTCTGCCTCCTCTTCCACATCTTTTCTTATGTTCCCGTTTCGAGGCACCATCTGCTCTGTCGCCCTTCTTTGGTCCTCAGTTGTGGTGCCAGCTGGCCAGAAGAAAAATGCAGAGAGGAAGGTCAAGTTTGTTAACCTCAGCTTGAGCAGCAAAAAAAGCAGGGTGTGATGCTTCTTATCTTGTGCATGTAAGCATTACCACCTGCTAGCATTCGCAAAAGAAGGTGTGGTTGCTGGCACAAGAGTATGGGCTTGCCCAAAGTTGTCTTTGGAGATCCCTCGTAGCCAAGTAAGATTGTCTTCCATAAACATGGTTTTAACAATGAGTCCGTGAGTGACTGTGGAGGCCAATTCTGGATCCACACGTCCTTCCACAGTGGGGACATTGGTTTCCAGGCCGGAGTTGATCACGGTGTGGATTTGCTAAGCATGCCTTTCTCTTAGCACGTTTCTCCCTTGTGTTCTGAGTTTGAGTGTCTTCAAAGCCCATGACACCTTTGGTATAGGCTGTTCTCCAATTGGAGCGCTAGCAGGCCAGTGTTTCCCAGTTGTCAGTGTTTATACTACATTTTTAAATATTTGCCTTGAGACAGTCTTTAAACCTCTTTTGTTGACCACCAACATTATGCTTTCCATTTTTAAGTTTGGAATAGAGTAGTTGCTTTGGAAGACGATCATCAGGCATCCACACAACATGACCAGTCCAACCAAGTTGATGTTGAAGAATCAATGCTTCAACACTGGTGATCTTTGCTTCTTCCAGTACACTGGTATTAGTTCGCCTGTCTTCCCAAGTGATGTGTAAAAATTTTCAGAGACACTGTTGATGGAATCTTTTGAGGAGTTGGAGATGGTGTTTATAAGTGGTCCATGTTTCACAAGCATACAGTGAGGTTGGTAGCACAATAGCTTTGTAAACAAGCATTTTGGTTTCCCTGCGAATGTCCTGGTCATCAAACACACTGCACTTCAATCGGAAGAAAGCTGCACTCACAGAGCTCAGGCGATGCTGGATTTTGGCATCAGTGTCAGCCCTTGTGGAAAGATAACTGCCCAGGTAAGAGAAGCTTAAAGCCACAAAGTTGGCAACCCTGGTCTCTAAGCTCCTTGTCCCATAACTCCCTTAGTTTTTTCTCCCTGTCCTCCTCAGCCAGAGCTACGCCTGTCAGTATTTCACTTGGACTGTTATGGGTTCCCTGGTCCAAACGCAGCAAGGAAACAGCACAATTCTCAGCGCTTTTTACTCAGAAGTAAATCCCATTGTATTCTGCAGGGCTCATTGCAGGGGCAGATCACCTATCTGAAAGCGCCAGATGTCAGTTACCTGTAGGGATTGGGGGAGAAATCTGCGCCTTCTTCATTTGCACATTCTGAAACAATACAAGAGCCCAGACTCAGCCATCCTATGAAATTTGCAGTTCCCTGAATTTTGCAATGCATTTTTTCAACCTTATAATGTGTACAAAAGTGCATTTGCTAGGATAACACCTGCACAAACATGTATTTATATATCAGCAAAAACAGCAAATGAGAACACATTATATAAGGGAACACTGTTTTGCAAAAATGTTTCTGTTAGGGGAAACTGCACACGAGCACCTGCATATTGGGAGAACTTTGCACACAAATGCTGATGATTTTCATGACTCCCCCCAACCCCAAAGTTAATAAACGAATGAGGAAATGTAGAGATCTGCTGCCTCTCCTGCCCTTAGAGAGGGATAGCAATCTGATAATAATGCATGAAGAATTAGGGGCATTCTTATTATCAGCTGCTTGAATGGACAGTTCAGCTAAGTGGCAAAGAGGAGCTGATGTGGTGTAGTGGTTAAGAGTGGTGGACTCATAATCTGGTGAACCGGGTTCGCTTCCCCACTCCTCCACATGCAGCTGCTGGGTGACCTTGGGCTAGTCACACTTCTCTGAAGTCTCTTAGCCTCACTCACCTCACAGAGTGTTTGTTGTGGGGGAGGAGGGGAAAGGAGGTTGTTAGCCGCTTTGAGACTCCTTTGGGTAGTGATAAAGCGGGATATCAAATCCAAACTCTTCTTTTTCTTCTTCTTCAGTGTGGGATAAATAGAATATGAGAAATAGTTCTCTCAGAGCATCTCACTCACCATAAGAGTGTGGTTTGTGGGCAATCTAAAAAGGGCCGGTTTGATGGGACTTGCTTTCTGTTCCTCAATTCTGTAAGCAAATCCACCAGCTCAGTGGATTTCTGTTCCTATATTATGTCATCGTTTGGAAAGGGAACTTTCCGGTTGATTTGCAAACCTTAAGCCATCCCAAGAAGCAGGGCTGTGAAAAGACCCTTTGTTGGGCTCTGGGCAGCACCATCAGGACAGCCCAAGCAGACACCACTACACTAGATGGGCCAAATGGTCTGACCAAAAAACAGCTACACATATGTTTGCTGGAGTCAGGAACACAGGCAGAGCCCAGGTGAAGAAACTTTGAACATTCCGTGACATCACCTCGCATCACCCAATCAGCACCAGAGGCCTCACTGCTGCAGTTGCTATGCAGATGCAAGTTTTTGTGGAAAACACACACACACACACACAAATATCAGCGTACACTTTCTCTGTGCTTAATTTCTTGAGACAAGACGTGTTTGGGAACAAACTTCATCTTGACGTTTGGCTCCTTATTTACAGAAGTGTGGAGCGGTACCTATTGTTCTTCCGCAGTGATGGTAACACACACACCGCACCTGTTCAGAAATCTGCTTTGCAGTTCATAGGGTTGCCATATTTCAAAATATATTTTGCAGGAAAGTTGTTGCACTTCTTTTTTTCCTCATTTGCCAAAGTAGTTGTTGTGCTCTTTTTGCAAAAGAGACATAGGTTGCCATAGCCCTGGGTCTTTCCCTGACATTTTTAACGATTCCGCCCGGATGCTGTTCCGTCAGACAAATCCCGGACATGTCCAGGAAATTCTGGACTTATAGCAGCCCTAAATTACAACAAAGCCTTTGTGACATTCCCTTGCATGTTCAAAATGGGCCTTGAGGGCTAGTGGCTGCCAAGCCTGCTCTCGAACGGAAACTTTGTCACCCGAGATATTTGATTCCTCCAGTATGCAAATAAGGCATGGTAAACAAATGCTTCATGGGAGCTTAGTTTTGTTGAGAGATGAACAAGACCCCTCTGACTTTTCTCTGCTGCCCGCATCCCTTGAAACAGTGTCCGATGGGGTGTGTCTTCAACCTTGCGCCACGCAAGCCTTCGTTGGACAGAAGTGTTCATTGTTCCCTCTCTTTGCATAACAGGTATCGGCTGGAATTAACTTGTTTGTGACTCTGAATGGGTTGAAAGGGAGGAACATCTTATTCTGGCACCTCTGTCCTCCCAGACCCCGGCTGTCACCCCCTCCCCCGTGGACACATCTCTCAGCAAAATAGGCAAAGCATAGGTGGGATTTGGCAAAATAGACAATTGAAACCCCATTGCGTGCTAATGTCCCAGACAGGGATCTGATGCAACAGAAGCCAGCCACACACTGGAGTCTTCTCTTGCTTGGGAGAAGAAGCAGGGGAAGAGGAGGATTTAGGGAGAGAGGTTTTTTGCAAGGGGTCAAAAAATAGGGCAAGGTTTGCAAATCAGCCTGAAAGTCCTCTTGACATTGCACAAACGGTGCATTTGCTCCAGCTCTGCGCGTGTGAGGAAAGCCAATGGAACATCTATTTGCCAGCCCAAGGTCAAAGCTTTGGTTAATATTTCTTCTTGCAGGTAAGGAAGATCCAAACAGGCAAAGGAATTGGCCACAGTAATTCGGGTCAGAACCATAGAAAAGTGGTCAGAGGAGCTTGCAAAGATGAAATGAATGACTTTCCCTGCCTTTATGCAAATGTTGATGCTGAATTTCCACTTGATGTTGTGGATTTTCGCAATGTTCCCGAGATTCGTCAAGTATTTGTTGTTTTTGTGGTTGACCTGGAATGGTATGTAGGCTTTCGGTCTTTGCCAGAATATGGTTGTTGACATGCAGCGGTGTCTCTAGTACCAACAGTATATCATAAATGAAGTGAAACGGTAAAAATACCAGGTGTTCTGGAAGTTTATATTTGACGCCTGACAAAATCTAATCAAGAGACGACAACAAGTTGTGGTTGAAGTTTCACATATAGAATTTTTAGCAGGGGAATGGAATACGACATTTTGGCATGTTTCAAATGTTGGGAAATGTTCCAGTTTTAGCAGATTGCACCCGGAAAGCCTTCAACAGCTGATGAAGAACAGAGTTACACCTTACGGGTGCATAGTTGCCTGGCTATTTCCTGTGTCTACAGGAGAAATGTCTTAGTGCAAAATTTGAGATCTGGGGTGCTCATGAAATAAGTTGCTGGACAAAGCACTTGCCATCTGCCTAACCCTTCAACAGCTATGGGGCAGGTAGAAATTCAACAGGTAGGGGCATTTCCCATTAGTGCATCACCTTCTTGGGACTCGTCAGTTTAAATTTCTGTTTGTTATGCTGCTGTTAAGAACACAGGAGCTTTGCAAGAAAGAAAAAAAAGGCAACTTTATTAGGGATATGTCGTGCATGATTTGGAGTGGAAAGATGAGCTATCTGAGGAAAGAACTGGAAAAACTGCTGGTTCAAAAAGGGAAAGATCCATCAGTATAAGATTTTGCATTTACTTTGATTTTATTCTTGCAGAATCAATCATCCTGAGCTCCTTCGTCCCGATGGCCCTGGGAGAAACAGAGAGGGCGATTTCTGCCACGGACCAGAGTGGGATCTTCACCACAAAGGAAACATCACAAATCTCCCAGTTTTGTCAGTGATCACTAAGATCACAACCTCCACCCTTGTTTCCTTACCACTTAATTATTGGGTGGGGGGGTTAGATCCTCAGGGAAAAGGGTTGGGACCAGACTTTCTTTCCCGAGTGCCATTGCTTCAGCCAAAGTTTGAGTCCCACACAGCTTCTTTGAAGTGTGGGGGAAAAACAACAAACGGGGGATCCCATTGTGAATCCTTCACATCGCATGGAGTTTGGTCCCTCATAACTAGGCCTCAAGCCTGTTTCTGGAATGTTCTGGAATGTGAATAGAATGTTCTAGAACGTTGAGAGAACATGATGTTGGGAACGAGGTTTTGAGTTCTGTGGTGGGGAAAAGGACATAAATGTTCTGTGGAGGGAGAAAAGTGGATTATAAATAAAGACACACACACCCCCAAGCGCTGAAGCAGACCTTATTTTAGGGATTGCACCTTTCATTCTGACCTCACTGTTGATTCCTGTTCCTTTTTCTTTTTCTTTTAATGTAGACCGGCCAAAATCTGCCACAATAAGCCCCCCTGGAAACATCAGCCAGCTGTTGGGTTCCAGTCTGACTCTCATCTGTCGTGCTGAGGATTCGGATCCTAATATACAGTATAGATGGTATTTCAACAACACCGATGCAAACGTGACAAGCAGCAATCTGACCATTGAATCAATCTCCTGGAAAAACGAGGGGACCTATGTCTGCTGCATATCCTACCCTCAAACAAATGTCACAGCCTATGCGACTGTATCTCTGAGGATAAAAACAGACAATGGTGATTTTCTTGGCTGTTCTGCCTGCCGGAGAGTTCATTCCGAGTTCAGCCTAACCTTGTTTTCTCAGAAGTAAATCCCACTTGGTTGTGTCCAATTAGGTTTTCCTCAGAGTAGTTCCACTGAAGTAGGGCACAAAAGTTGTCTAGCTTTTTTTGGGGGGGGCAAAGTTGTTGAGCTTTCTTTGCAAAAACTCCAAGGAAATTTGAGGTTTTTGAGCTATTTCTAAGGAAATCTGCCCCAAAGTCAACACTTCTGGCGTGGGGGGGTTGCCATACACCTGGGTGTTCCCAGACCTTTTTTTACAGACTTTTGGAAATTCAGCAATTTCTGACGGATGAATCCTGGATATATCCAGATGTACGGCAGCCCTACACTGAAGTGACTGCTCCCAATTTAGGGTTCATCTTTGCCGTTCCCCCACAAGGAAAACCCACAGTTTATGGCTGAATTGGAACAAACAGAAACTGGGTCTTTTTTGGCACATATTGTCATTTGTTCTGAATTAGCACTAAACAGTGGGTTTTCCCAGAGAAAGTCAAAAGAATTCTGGGAGTTGTAGATTGTTAAGGGTGCTGAGAGTTGGTAGGAGACACCCCCCGAAAAATTCCCTCCCAGAGCTACAATTCCCAGAGCGGTTTAACAACTAATCCTTCTTAAATTCAGCAGTTTTAAGGTAGAGCAATATTTGGGCTTTCATTCTCAATAAATGAACTATTCTAAAAGCATGTAAATAAGTGCCTGTAGGCCAATATGATTTTGATAGTGCACTATAAAGCTAAAGATTTATTTTTACAAATTTTAGAGTTTCAGATGTTATATATTAAATCTTTACAGATTAACAGAGCTGATTGTACAGGAATGTAAAAGCTGCTGTTTTAAATTTATCTAGATTCTTGGAGCAACTTTCAGTATTAAATCAATTGCATGATTGTGATATTAAGCTAGGCAGTTTGGCTGTTAGTGTACTTTTATAATTGTAATTTTAAGAAAAGGAAATTTAATGTACATTTGAATTTATTCAATGGTAAACAAGTCACCCCTCAAAGCAATGAAAGGTGTAATTTTGATATTTTAAAATTATACATCTTTTCATTAGGAATTTCATACTGTCTTTTACACAAGGTTTAAAATAAATTGAGCAAATTTTAAAAACAAAACAAAAAACAACCAATCCTTCTTACCAGGGGATTTCTAGGACACCTTTGGAATGACACTTTGATTGGGTAAAAATGAAAACTTTCTGTGCATTCATATTTTAATCTCTATACTCTTGTGCGATGGGGTGTGGGGAGGAAGGAGAAGGGGGTTTCGACAGTGGAACAGTCTCCCTCAGGAGGTGGTGGACCCTCCTTCCTTGGGTCTTCAAGCAGAGGTTGGGTGGCCATCTGTCATGGATGCCTTAGCTGAGATTCGGACATTGGAGGGTGGTTGACCTAGATGATCCTTCCAGCTCTATGATTCTGTGATTTATTTTGGTTTTCTTCTGCATTAAAAAATAACTTTTTAGAAAAGAGAAGAAACCGCAACTCCCTCCATCACTGACCCTGCTTGTTGGGTCCAGCAACCTCTTGAGGGTTTCCTCACGCCAGACTGACAGGGTGGTACTGCTGCAGCAGCAAAAATGGGTGAATATGCAGCCCACAGGATATGAAAACAGCTTCCCCTTTGTGACGACAAACAGTGCGTCCTGTGCTGGGTTGCGATATCCATTTCTGACACATGCGCCGGGATTGGGCAAAGAATGCACAATGAGACATCTTGCTTAGCCTCTCAAAGCTAGAACATGAGAAAAGTCTGGCCAAAGACCTATCTAGTCCAGCGTCCTGTTTTCACAACAGCCACACAGAAAAATAAAATAATAATAATGCGTGAGAGAACAAGAAGTAAAATCCTAGGGATAAAAAATGGGGAGAATGTTCACACCACTCTTGCTTTTCTGTTCCAGAAACTTCTTCAGCTCAACCACAGCATCCTCTGACGGTGTTTGTTGGCATCGTGTTTGGGTTGGCGGCTGGGGTGACTTTGGTTGGCACCTTGCTATGCTGTTTCTGTGAGTAAAGCCCTTGAACTGGGAAGACTCGGACTCCTGGGTTCTGTTTCCAAGGGATGAGTGTTAGGAATGTTAACACAAACCTACCTAATCTGCAGTCCATGAAACTATCCTTCAAAGTTAGCTTATCATCCTTGATACAATACGATATGATACAATAATCTTTATTGTCATTGTCCCTTACAGAACAACAAAATTGATAAAGTCTACATCAGACATTCAAAACCAACAAGCCTGCTATCCCAGCTATCCCAGCTCGGTTAGCCCCCTAAAAACTCTGATATCCCATAATTAAATACAATATACTCCCATAGAGACTACCTTACACTGCGTTTAAAACCAAAATCGCATTTGGATAGAAACTGTTTCTCAGGCGGCTAGTCCTAGTTTTTATAACCCTGTACCTTCTTCCAGAAGGCAGAAGCTGAAAGAGATCATTTCCGGGGTGCGCACTACCCTGCGCTATCTCTGCAGCTTTCTTATGGCACCTGGAAGCATAGATTGGTGAATCAAAGAAAAATCTTCACGCCCTGGTCTTTGTGAAATATTATTTATTTATTTATAAAAAATAGTTACACGTCACTATTCTTCTTTGTGTCCCTCCTCCACGAGATGTCTGGAGGGTGGCAACACGAGAACTGGTCTTTTCTGCAGTGGCTTCCCGCTCGTGGAGTGCTTTCCCCAGGGAGGCTCGTCTGTCCCCATCATTGCATTCCTTTAGACACCAAGGGAAAACGTTCCTCTTCAATGTTCCTTTGACTGATTGACATCCGATGCCCTTTTAAATCTATTGTGGGAGGAGGGGTTGGTTTTGCCCTGTTCTTAACTTTATCATGTATTTGGTGCTTTTATATTCCTATTTTATGTTGTAAACTATGAAAGGTGGTATACAAATTTAAATAAGAAGAATAAAAAATATTCATTTAAAAACCAGAGTGGTTTACAGCAATTGAACATGAAACTGTACAATAAAAACCATATTAAAAAGTTTTAAAATCTCTATAAACAGGGTAATCCAGAATACTGAGCCAATGGCACAAAGACTTGGTTTCTTGTTGTTGCGAAACGGACCTTTGCCAATTTGGGGAGAGATCAGTGACACTCCTGTACATTGTCTCAGTAATCAAGCTAGGCTATAATTATAAAAGGACCTTGAATCTGGCCCACTAGACAGAATAAGTCCTTTTCTCCATTCTTACCTTGTCTCCAGGTGTCCACATTCGGAGGAAGAACCCGCCGCCGCCACCACCACCACCAATTTCGACAATCCCATCCTTACCTAAGGACTTCTCTCGATCCATAATGCTTGGTAGCAGAGCCAGAGAAGTGAGTGATGATTGAGATACATTCAAATCAAATCAAATTTTATTAAATGGTCACAGACCAGGTTAACTCGTACAGCTAGTCAGCGAAGCATAACACCGGAAAAAACAAAGGACAATTTCAATACAGATTAGGCCATAACAGCAATTTGAAATTAGACAGCATAAATATAATTAAGTATTTGCCTTCGCCTGCATATTGACATTGGAAAGCTCTTGTTTCCTGCGCCTAATAGCGGCTACACAGAATTTGGCAACATTGATCGTAATTTCAGGAACCTTATCTTCTACCAAGGCTCTCATACGTTGGGGTTCTGGTACATTGTAGAACTGGGGCAATAAAGGTCAGGCGTAGATCCTCGTAGTAACTACAGTGCAGCAATACATGCAGACTTGTTATTGAGATACATTGCAGCTAGAATGACCACTTTCACCCTGGCACAGCAGAGGTTCAGCTGGTCCTGAACTTTGGGGCTCAAACCCAGGGCTGTGGATTAAGCCACAGAGCCTAGGACTTGCCGATCAGAAGGTCGGCGGTTCGAATCCTGTGGCGGGGTGAGCTCCCATTGCTCGGTCCCTGCTCCTGCCAACCTAGCGGTTCGAAAGCATGTCAAAGTGCAAGTAGATAAATAGGTACCACTCTGGCGGGAAGGTAAACGGTGTTTCCGTGCACTGCTCTGGTTCACCAGAAGCGGCTTAGTCATGCTGGCCACATGACCCGGAAGCTGTATGCCGGCTCCCTTGGCCAATAAAGCGAGATGAGTGCCACAACCCCAGAGTCGGTCACGACTGGACCTAATGGTCAGGGGTCCCTTTACCTTTAAGCTACTGAAGGTTATAGGGCCCTTTATATAGCAGGCGGGGCCCATGAATTACATCATAGGAGCCTACACAACACAAAACACTGTTGCTGTATGTAGGTTTTATTTTATTTGTTTTTTATCTCATATTTTGGAAATGGACATCCAGTTCTTTTTTACTTTAATTTTTTTCGGGGGGGGGGGGGCCCAAGAGAGTGGGGCCCTAAGCTATAGCTTGTTTAGCTTATACGTAACTCTGTCACTGCTCAGACACAGAGCTCAGCCACCCACTCCTGCCCCATGACTACCCAGGGAATGGCAGCTGTTAGGGGCAGTGGCAGAGGTGGCACTGAGAGACGAGAGAGGTTTTTGTTTCATTTGATTGTAGCATAAACCAGACTCGTTTGCACTCCCTGAACTAATATCTGCACCCTGAATTATTCTGTGCAGTTCTTCAAGCAAAAACCCTGTGCGCCAAAGGGCATCTATTAGATAAAACATACACGCTATGTGTAAAGGTAAAGGGACCCCTGACCATTAGGTCCAGTCGTGGCCGACTCTGGGGTTGCGGCGCTCATTTCGCTTTATTGGCTGAGGGAGCCGGCGTACAGCTTCCAGGTCATGTGGCCAGCATGACCACGCCGCTTCTGGCGAACCAGAGCAGTGCACGGAAACACCGTTTACCTTCCCGCCAGAGCGGTACCTATTTATCTACTTGCACTTTGGCGTGCTTTTGAACTGCTAGGTTGGCAGGAGCAGGGACCAAGCAACGGGAGCTCACTCCGTCGCGGGGATTCGAACCACCGACTTTCTGATTGACAAGTCCTAGGCTTTGTGGTTTAACCCACAGCGCCACCTGCGTCCCACACACGCTATGTGTATGAAGACTTAATTCTGTGTTTTTTTGGGGGGGAGGGGAATGCATTTATGTGTTAAAGTAAACCATCCACAAACCCGAAGTGAAGCCTTTTGTTTCTTCATACAAAAATCAGACTTAAAAAAAGAGAAAAGAGCAGGGACATGTCCAGCCCTCCACAGAATTGCTTCAGCAACCTAGAAAGCTTTCCTGTTTGTCTTTGTTCCAGACCAAGCCTGAGAACCCTGCTGAGCCCAGCACCATCTACCAGGTAAGTGTACAGCTTCCGTCATTGCAGGGGGTTGGATTGAATGACCTTCGGGGTCCCTTCTGACAATTTATGATTCCATGATACCTCCAGAGTGAAGATTAGACTTAGGAAGGAAGAGACCAAGGGAAAGAGAATGAAATAGAGCCTTCCGCTCTTTTTGGCAAGCCAGCCGCGAGTCCGTTCTGGACTGTCTAGTCTGCTAGACGTGACAGGAGACAAAACCCACCGCCACCCACTGCTCTCTGTGGCTTTTGGGGGCACAAAGGTTGCGCAGCCGCTCTACTGCGTAGGCAAAGAATTACGATAGCGGTGGTTGTGTTGTTGTTTTTATGTTCCTTTGGCAAGGCTGACTCATGCCACACTGTGACGCAGGGTTTGCTCATTGCATGACTCAGCGGATGGCTCAGACCCTAACTGGCCGTTGTTCTGTGGGTGGGGGACGGATCCTGCCCACGCCGACTGCCCCTTGCAGGGTCCTGCCTCGTTTTGAGTCAGCATTGCCCACTCAAGTCTCGCCGCCGCCACCCACCCAAACACCTGGTGCCCTGCGAATGTTCTTGGACCACAGTCCTAAACTGAACAGCTCCGGCGCAATATGATTTCGGGCTGCCTTTGAAGACAGTTTGGAAACTGCAGATGGTGCAGAATTTGGCGGACAGATTGATGTCGGCCTTGCAGAGGTCAGCAGAAGGCTGGGGAAAGGCTGGCTTGCTGCTGTTTTCTCATGCTCTGAAGGGTAGGGCCCAATAGCTTCAATTTACAAGGAACTACCAAAATGATTAAGGTTTTAAATGACAATTTTAGGTTATATTTTATTGATCAAGATTTAATATATATATTTAACTGCCACTATATCTGAATTACGTGAGTGGCACTGTGGGTTAAACCACAGAGCCCAGGACTTGCTGATCAGAAGGTCAGCGATTCGAATTCCCTGTGACGGGGTGGGCTCCTGTTGCTCGGTCCCTGCTCCTGCCAACCTAGCAGTTCAAAAGCACGTCAAAGTGCAAGTAGATAAATAGGTACTGCTCTGGGGGGAAGGTAAACAGCATTTCCGTGCGCTGCTCTGGTTCGCCAGAAGTGGCTTAGTCATGCTGGCCACATGACCTGGAAGCTGTACGCTGGCTCCCTCGGCCAGTAAAGCGAGATGAGTGCCGCAACCCCAGAGTCGGCCACGACTGGACCTAATGGTCAGGGGTCCCTTTACCTTTACCTATATCTGAATTGTCTCTGTTATACCTAATTGCAATTCAGTGTATTCCTGTTGTGTTTTATGATTTTCCTGATATTGTAAGTGAGCCGGAACTGGTCTGTGACCGTAATAATAAAATTCATTCATTCAATTTACAAGGAAGGGGATTCTGAGTGAAAAAAACCTCTCTGACAGTAAGAGCTGTTCGACAGGGGAATGGTCTCCCTCAGGAGCTTGTGAACTCTCTGTTATGTACTGAACTTCTCACCCTGGGCCAGCAGGGGGATACTGTAGAAAATTCAGGTCCACATATGCAAATAAGGGATCGAAAGTGACGTTCAGTGATTGGATAGTTAAAGAAAGTTATTACAATTACGTTGTTCTGGAGCTCTATATAAGCAGGCTGGCTGAACCCTTCAGTTCTGTTCTGGCCTGTGAATAAACAAGAGCTGTTGAAGAATCGCTGTGTCGTCTGATATGCTCACCCACAACTTAACACTCTCCTTCACTGGAGTTTTTAAAGCTGAGGTTGGATGGTCAATCGTCAGGGATGCTCCAGCTGAGATGAACCTCGGGCTCCCTTCCAACTGTACAATTCTATGATTTCATGATTGTACTCTGACACACAGCAGCTCGCTCAGGCCCCAATTCTATGGCAGAATGGCCGGCTAGGCCTACTGTCTTAAGATCCCTTTAACAGGAGAGGGATGAACCTAGGCGTCAGGTGTGAATTGCAACGGTGGTCTATGGACACCCCTCCCCCCAAAAAAAATTGGTTAAGAGTGCAAGGCAGGCAGATCAGACCCACAGCTGAACTCTTTCAACGTTTTGTCTTCAGGAGGTGCTGTGTGATGACGGGGCTGTGTATCAAGAACTGGAAGGGTAAGTCTTCCCTCCGTTTCTGTGACTTCTCCTGGCTTTGGGAAGGAGGCGGGAGGACTCTAGGACCCTGCCAGAGCTCTCACATCTCCTCCCCAAAGCCCAGGGCCTCACGTACCCAGTTCTGAGATGGCACCCCCATGGCTCAGAGCCCAGTGCCCAGCCCTAAACCTGCCCCTGCCACCTTTCCATATACAGTGGGTGACTGGACCAACAGTTGAAAATTTAACTTCTAGTGAACTTTAGTGAAGGTGCAATGCCTTCCCCTGCCCCTTGGGGGCAGCAGGCTAACTTAGGGGGCACCGGGCACACACAGTTCTGCCCTGCCCCACAGCAGCTCACTGCAGCTTATTGCCTGCCCCACCCCACATTTCCTGCACGTGCATTTCCTCAAATTCCATCGCTGAGTTTTTGGCATTGGAAATAAATTCTGGGCCAGATCCTGCGCCCTTCACACACGTTCTCTCTCTCTCTCTCTCTCTCTCTCTCTCTCTCTCTCTCTTTATCCAGGTGATTTCTGAGTGCAGCATCTCCTGTGTAGCAATAAGGACTTACGATAGCTTCTCCCAGCTGAACGTTTCTGCCTAGGTGCCTGTCAGCTGCAAACTCCCAGCCAGACCCTCCTTGATATACCTGCCTTAAAAACCCAGACTCTTCTCTAAATATAGTGCTTTAAATACATGGCATGAATGTGGCCTTAATGTGCATCCCTGCAGATCATTCTGAGGTAGAACTCTGAATGGTTTAATCTTCAATGTGTTGCTGTTTTTACTTTAAAAGAAAAACGCATTAGACTCTTTGTGCTTGTTTGCTTAAATATCAAAACGGTTGGAGAAAATGCATTAAATAATTTCACTGTTTTCTTACTGTCTTACGTCTCTTTTTGACGGCAACCTGAAATGATCCAAACATTGGGTAAAAGGTAAAGGTAAAGGTACCCCTGCCCGTACGGGCCAGTCTTGCCAGACTCTAGGGTTGTGCGCCCATCTCACTCTATAGGCCGGGGGCCAGCGCTGTCCGCAGACACTTCCGGGTCACGTGGCCAGCGTGACAAGCTGCATCTGGCGAGCCAGCGCAGCACACGGAAACGCTGTTTACCTTCCCACTGGTAAGCGGTCCCTATTTATCTACTTGCACCCGAAGGTGCTTTCGAACTGCTAGGTTGGCAGGCGCTGGGACCGAACGACAGCAGCGCACCCTGCCGCAGGGATTCGAACCGCTGACCTTTCGATCGGCAAGTCCTAGGCACTGAGGCTTTAACCCACAGCGCCACCCGCGTCCCCAAACATTGGGTAGTTGGGTTAAATTATTGAGGATCGTTTGCCATAAACTTGAATTGATCTGTGAACTGAGTGTGAACCGAACTAGGCTGTTTTATACAGGATTGAGCATGAACTGAAGTTATAGTTCCTTTCTGGATGTGTCAAGTTGGAGCTAATTCCTTTTTTAAATGATCTTTCTGAGATCTGGACCCCACCTAGGTCCCCTGGAGCCCCTGGCTTGGCAGCTGCTGTTCCTCTTTAAGCAAGTAAAGAATGTATTGGATTTGTATCCCAACGCCCCTCCAAGGAGCTCAAGATGGCAGCATACATGGTCCCCCCCCATTTTACCCTCACAACGACCCTGTGAGGTAGGTTAGGCAGAGGTCTCATCCAGGCTTCCCACCGCTTCCCCCTCTTTTGTGCTGAATCTGAGCAAATGTCAATCAGCTTTCCCAGGGACTGACATTTGTTCCGATTCAGAGCTAAAGAGTGGGTTTTCCTGGGGCAAGTTGTGGGGCAAACAGGAGGAGGAGGAGGAGGAGGAGGAGGAGGAGGAGAAGAAGAAGAAGAAGAAGAAGAAGAAGAAGAAGAAGAAGAAGAAGAAGAAGAAGAAGAAGAGTAGTTTGGATTCGATATCCCACTTTATCACTACCCTAAGGAGTCCCCTTCCTTCCCCACAACAAACATTCTGCTAGGTGAGTGAGGCTGAGAGAGAAGTGTGACTGGCCCAAGGTCACCCAGCAGCTGCATGTGGAGGAGCAGGGAATCGAACCCAGTTCACCAGATTACCACTCTTAACCACTACACCAGAGGACCACTTGGACCCATGCTTCCTAGGCACATGACAAGCAGAAGCATGGATGAGCCCCAAGAACCAGGCAGAGGGCCTTCTTGGTGGTGGTGCCCGCCCTGTGGAACGCCCTCCCATCAGATGTCAAAGAAATAAACAACTATATGACATTTAGAAGACACCTGAAGGCAGCCCTGTTTAGGGAAGTTTTTAATGACTGATGTTTTAATGTATTTTTAATTTTTGGTTGGAAGCCGCCCAGAGTGGCTGGGGAAACCCAGCCAGATGGGTGGGGTAGAAATAATAAATTATGATGACGACGATGATGATAAAAATAAATATTTATTTATACCCCACCTGCCCCAGCCGGAGCCAGGCTCAGGGCGGCCAACACCAATAAAATTACAGTAAAAATATAATGGGGTGGGGGGACCAATTTAAAATACAAGTTAAAATGCAAATTAAATGCAGCCTCATTTTAAAAGTAGCCCATAGATCAAAACCATAAGGGGGGAGGGAGGAACATAAGGGTCAGACTGAGTCCAAACGAAAGGCCAGGTGAAATAGTTCTGTCTTGCAGGCCCTGTAGAAAGATGTCAAATCCTGCAGGGCCCTGGTCTCTTGTGACAGAGCGTTCCACCAATTCGGGGCCAGTACTGAAAAGGCCCTGGCCCTAGTTGAGACCAATCTAACCACCTTGCGACTTGGGGCCTCCAAAATGTTGTCATTTGTGGACCTTAAGGTCCTCCACAGGGCATACCGGGAGAGGCGGTCCCATAGGTACGTGGGTCCTAGGCCGCATAGGGCTTTAAAGGTCAAACCAGCACCTTAAACCTGACCCTGCACTCCACTAGGAGCCAGTGTAGTTGGTAAAGCACTGGATGAATGTGATCCCGCGGCAAGGATGATTAGAGACATTAACTGGTCCGAGGTCACCCAATGAGCTTCATGACTGAGTGGGAAGTTGAACCCTGGCCTCCCAAGCTCCTAGTCCAATGTTCTAACCACTGCACCACATTGCCAGGAGGTTGGCAAAAGAGCACCAAGCCTGTACTTGCTTAGGAAATAAATAACTATCTGACTTTTAGGAGACATCTGAAGGCGGGCCTGTTTAGGTAAGTTTTTAATGTCTGATCTTTTATTGTATTTTTTATATTTTGTTGGGAGCCGCCCAGAGTGGCTGGGGAAACCCAGCCAGATGGGCGGGGTATAAATATTATCATAGCCATCCAAGGAGCCAGCTGAAGGCATCTTGCCCAAGGATCCCCCTCCCCCAAAATCCCTGGAGCCAACACTGCCCATTGCAACACTTAATGGAACAAGGGAGAATGGGTGCCACTAAACAGGCACTGGAGGCTTTTATTTCACAGGTGTATATATGATGTTATTTTCTGCCTCTGGGGTTCCGGTTGGCTGTAAGGGTTGGTGCTCAAGACGCCGCCAGACGACTGTCCTCGATTATTTCATTCACGGTTTCCAGATAGATGGAGCTCCTCCTCTTGCTGTGGGGAGGGCAGTGACTCATACAGTCTTTGGGGTTGGCTGTTGCTGCTCCAAAGGCCACCGCTGTACTGGAGAACGATGATCTCTTCTGCTTTCCCCCCCTTTAGAAGAGAGCTTGTCTAGAATCAGAGAAGGGAAACCAGAAGGATCCGTATCCTACTCCCTTTGGGACTAGAAGGGTAATCTCCAACCCACTAGGTGCCACAAGGCCAAGTCTAGCCCCAACCTCCTCCTGCTGTACACACAGCTCCCCTAACTGAAGTCGCCATGCTCTCGTTGACATCTGGAGGTGGAAATGGACCCTCAGAAGGAAACCGTGACTACCAACCTCTGTGATTTAAGGCAGGGGTGCAGAATCTTTGGCCCTCCAGATGTTTCTGGACTCCTGGCTTTTGCTTCAGATCAGAATTGAATCGGCTTGTTCAGGATCAATTCTACCCAAGGAAAGAGGGAAAGAAACAACGATTGCTGGAGTGAGAAGCTGGTTCTATTTCATATTATTTGAAACATCCCTATGCCGCCTTTGAGAGGAACGGCAGCTTGCCACGGAACACAGAAATACAATTTATTTATTATTGTTTTATTTTTAAAAATTTCTATACCGCTTTATATTTTAAAGAAAAATCCCAAAGCATTTTACAGCATATTAAATCAATAAAACAATACAATGCAAGTACAATATCATGGGTGCAAAAAATTACGGGAAAAATGAAATATTAGGAAAGGGCAACCAATAAGAGAGGAGCAAACCCTACACAGCAGGGTCCCGGCCTAAGATGGTTGGACAGCACATTGTATACACCTCCTTCACTTTTTGGTCAAAGAATATAAACAACACCCATCGTAATTGGGGACTATAGAGTTAAATATAGTTTCCGATTGTTCTGGGTTGGGGCAAAGGCTCCACATTCAGCCTGTCTTGCTGGTTGCTTTCATTCTCCTGCGTGGTTGTGTATTGGCCTGCTCATCCGTAAAGCAGCCTCTTGTTCCAGACCTGCCTTATATTATACTCACCGTATTTTTCGCCCTAGAGGATGCACCCGACCATAGGACACACCTTGTTTTAGAGGGGGAGAACAAGAAAAAAAAATCTCCCCCTCTCTGCTCAGCGCCCCTTCAGCAAAGCGGCAGGAGAAACGGAGCCCCTTCCATTTCTCCTCCTGCTTGGCTGAAGGGGCGCTGCACAGCTCTCCCTCTCTGCTGAAGCCAGGAGAGTCTTGCTCTCCCGGCTTCAGCAAAAGGAACCTGAAGCCTTCGGAGCACAGCGCAAGTTCCCGCTGCACTCTGGAGGCTTTGGGTTCCTTTTGCTGAAGCCGGAAGAGCAAGACTCTCCTGGCTTCAGCGAAAGGAACCTGAAGCCTGTGGAGCGCAGCGGGAACTCACGCTGCGCTCTGAAGGCTTCAGGCGGCTATCCCTGAAGCCTGGAGAGCGAGAGGGGTCGGTGTGCACCGACCCCTCTTGCTCTTCAGGCTTCAGAGAAAGCAACGCGTAGCCTCCGGAGCGCGGAGGGAGCACTCCCTCTGTGCTTTGGAGGCTTCGCGTTGCTTTTGCTGAAGCCAAGGAGCCTGCATTCGCTCCATGGGACGCACACACGTTTCCCCTTAATTTTTGGAGGGGGAAAAGTGTGTCCTATAGAGCGAAAAATACGGTAACCAAAATGAAATCAAAAACAAGCTAGCGTTACCTTGCATAGTTGTTCAACGTGTAGTAGGAAGCGATGCCTACCAAGACCAGGGACAGCGAAATCAATCCTACGACCAGCCCCGCCGAGACTTTGGAAGGTGGAATATGCGCCTTCCTTTTTCTGCCCAGATCTCCACATGCAAACGGCAAGAAAAAAATATGCATATAATAGGAATAATAGTACAGCAGTACCTCGGAAGTCGAACGGAATCCGTTCCGGAAGCCCATTTGATTTCCAAAATGTTCAGAAACCAAGGCACGGCTTTCGATTGGCCGCAGAAGCTCCTGCAGCCAACCGGAAGCGGCAGAAGCCTCGTTGGACGTTCGAGTTCCAAAGAACGTTCACAAACCGGAACATTCACTTCCGGGTTTGAGGCATTTGGGAGCCAAAAAATTTGACTTGCAAGGCATTACAGATCCAAGGAATGACTGTAAAACATTAGTAGTAATTTATTACTTATACTCTGTCCATGTGGCTAGGCCTCCTCAGCCACTCTGGGCAGCTCCCAACAGAATATTAAAAACGCGATAAAACATCAAACATTATAAACTTCCCTAAACATGGCTGCCTTCAGGTGTTTTCTAAAAGTATTTTCTTTAGCTCGTCCTCAGGTAAGCTGAG